GGCGTGGTTGACGGTGCGGCGGCTTTAATTCTGTCGAGCAAAGCCTACGCAGACAAGGCCGGCTGGAAACCTCGCGCCCGGATTCGCGCCATTGCAACTGTGGGTGGCGATCCAACCTTAATGCTCAACGAACCGGTACCTGCTGCGCGTAAAGCCCTGGCCCGCGCCGGCATGACCACCAACGATATTGATCTGTTTGAAGTCAACGAAGCCTTCTCAGTGGTTGCAGCCAAATTCATCCGCGACCTGGAACTGGATCCAGAGAAAGTCAACGTCAATGGCGGCGCCATGGCATTGGGTCACCCGATTGCAGCCACCGGCTCAATCCTCATCGGCACCGTGCTGGATGAACTGGAACGTCGCGACCTGACAACCGGTCTGGTCACCATGTGTACCGGCGGTGGTATGGCCCCTGCCATCATCATCGAACGTGTCTAAGGCGACACCCTATTCTGACAAGCGCCTGACCAGGGTCGCCATAACGGCGGTCCTGGTTCTGTTTTTAGCGGCGTGTACCGACAAAGCCGCAGAATTGCAGGACGCCAGTCTTGCACATGCGCAACAGTGGTTTGCGTTAGCGGGCAAAGGCGCAGACGGGGATGAAAACTGCCATGGGTTAGGTCTACTTAAACACCCTGCAGTATCGTGCGCCCAAATGCTCAGCTTCGCATCAAAAGTAGATTCTGCATCAAGACAGATCACCGATATTACGACCAGAGACTGTTTTGAAACCGTTTGTGGGGAGTTTATTGAGCTCAACTTTTCCGGTCAGGATCTAGCCGGCAACGAGGTCACCGAAATGCTGTTGCTGAAACGCGACGATGGCCGCATGAAAACCTATCTGTATCGATCAAATCTGCTGCTGGCCGAGTTGGGAACCGAAAATCCCGCAAACCGGGAAGCAGAGAAGAGCCCCCAACAAATCGCTTACGACGAAATTGTGGCGCGCTATCCCAGCTTGTACACCTATCCACCCTGCTATGGCATTCGGCCTTCAAGTTCGAACCTGGTAGGCGAACTGATGGCGCGGGACAAGATAGACGTCACCGCGGTAGAGACCCTTGCGGCGCAATGCGGAGAAAATTTCTGTCTGGCTCTGGTTGGCAACAAAATAGCCACCCTTTGCCCGGCGAGCCGTTAGAACCCTTTAAGGCTGCAAGCGTTTGATCAACCAGCGGTTGTCCTGTTTCTCATAACTGAAACGGTCATGTAACCGCCCTACTCTGCCCTGCCAGAATTCGTAGCGTAGGGGCGAGAGTATGTATCCCCCCCAGTTGTCTGGCACAGGTACGTCAGTATTGTTGTATTGCGCGCTTAATGCCTCAACCCGCGCCTCCAGCGCAGAACGGTCAGCGATCTCCTGGGATTGTTGACTGGCCAGGGCTGACAGCTGGCTTTCTCTTGGTCGGGTGCGGAAATAACTTTCATTCTGTTCACCGCTCAGCTTACTGACAGTACCGGTGATGCGAACTTGCCGCTCACTTTCACGCCAGTAAAACATCAGCGCAGCATTCGGATTCACGACGAGGTCCTGGCCTTTGTGGCTGGCGTAGCTCGTATACCAGACAAAACCTCGTTCACCATGTCCTTTTAACAGGACAATCCTCACTGAAGGATGTCCCTGTGCATTCACGGTGGCCAACGACATGGCGGTTGCGTCGGCTTCATTATCAGCGATGGCTTGTTGTAACCATATTTCAAATTGCTCGAGGGGCTGCTGCGCCAACGAATCCCGGGACAGAATGCCCTGAGCGTAATCGCGACGGATATGGGCTTCATCATTAATCAATGTGAACGTCCAGGCTAAAAGACATAGCCTAAAGCCAAGGCCGTGATGACACCATCAAAACTCTCAGGTGGGACTCTGATAGCGCCAGACATTGGTGAACCAGGCACCATAAGCGCACAACACCGCGGACAAAATCATCGCCGGCCAAAGGGCGTTGAGGGTACCAAAGGTTTCAATAAGCCAGCCCAATACCACAGCACCTATGGGCGCGCTGCCCACCATACCCACGCTGAATACCGACAGGATGCGCCCGCGATAAGCGGGTTCCGCCGACTCCTGCACAATGGTTCGAGCCAGATTACTGGTAATGCCCATGTTCAGACCCCAGCCGAATGTACCCAGCACCAGCAACCAGAAATCTCCCCGTACATAAATCATCAACAGCACGATGATGCGTGAAAGCTGCATCAGCAGAAACAAACGTCCGGGACGCACGAGCGGCATGAACTTCAGCAACAAGGCGTTGGAAACGGCAGCACCAGCAAAGAAAATGGCCATCAATACCGACAAAGTCCAGGCATCACCTTCATAGATACGCTTTACGATAAAAGGAAAGACGGTGATGAAGGAACCGGCGTTGAAGATGCTGGAGACAAAGTTGATGACCAGTACATTGAAAATGATTTTGCTGCGCAAGGTCGCCTGCAGACCTTCAATGATGCCTCGTACTGCTGACTGCTCAGGCTTGGGATCAATGGTCACCACCGCAGTAATGCGCGTCATTGCAAACGACGCGAGGGCGATGACGACGGCTTGTGACAGCAGCACAGGAGAGATCCCCCACCGATCTATCTGACCCGCCAGTCCCAGTCCGAACACCTGCACGATAAAGCCTGCAGCTGTCGCAGCGGTAACACCTTGTTGCAGATGCTGGCCACTGATGCGATTGAGAATGGCCTGCTGCGCAGGCATTGAGTACGACTGCACAAAGCTCATGCCCAGCCCCCACAAAATGACACTCCAGACGGCAAACCAGCCGCTGACATCCATAGCGATGAGAAACAGAGGAAAGATGGGCGCAACCGCATAAATACGAATGAGCAGGTTACGCGGGTCCGCGCGATCAGCACTGGCACCGCCCATGAGCATCAGAAACACGCCTGGGATACCGATCAATGCCTGGATCAGGCCCACCTGGTGGGCAGGGAGAAGTAGAATACCGATCAGAATCCAGCTCAACAGCAGTTGCTGCATGGCCAGCGCCATGCCGGAAAAGGCGCTGGCACTCAGATATGCGCGAAACTGGCCGTTTTGCCAGATCGATGACTCACTCTCTTGCTGCAAGAAATATTCCCCGCCTCCCCAGCGTGGCTTGTATCCTACAGCTGACGTTTTTTTCATGTAAGTGCTGCCGGTGACAAAACTACAAGATGAAGCTGTGATTGAAGCTGAAGATTTCAGCGGAGAGGATTTCAGCCACAGCACCCTGCGCGATTGTGTTTTCACCGATTGCCAGTTCGCCGGCAGCAATTTCCGCGCCACCGACCTCAGCAGGACTGAATTTATTCGCTGTCAGTTCAATGATGCAACATCACAACAGCCAGCGGATTTCAGCCAGGCAAATCTGCGTGAAGTACATTTCAGCCACTGCAATCTGACCGTTGTGGATTTTGTGCGCTGCGAGGCATATGCGTTGCACTTTGAACACTGCCAGCTGCAGGGCGCTGACCTTTCCAGGATCGACTGCCGCATGCCTGTTTCTGGCACCGAGCTGACCGATTTCACCATGCAGCACTGCAACTTCGCCTACGGCACGCTGGCAGAAAACTTCCTGGTCGAGTGTACGATCACGGACAGCCGGCTGATAGAGGCCAATCTCGACCACTGCAATTTACGCGGGGCTAATCTCGCGGGTTCTGAACTGCATAATATCAGCGCGACAGGTCTGAATATTGAAAACGCTGATCTGCGGGGCAGCAGCTTTAATAACCTGCACCCGCGCGACATCAGCCTGGCGGGCGTCAAACTCCACTACAGCCAGTTAATAGCTTTAGTGGAGCCGTTGGGTCTGGTCCTGGAACCGGACCCGGACTAGCCGCCCACAGAGCGACGGGGTGCTAGTTGATTTCCAGCAATTCCACTTCGAAGATAAGCGTTGCGCCGGGTTTGATCTGCCCGCCTGCGCCACGATCACCATAAGCAAGGTCGGACGGTACGACGAGGCGCCATTTCGAACCCGTGTTCATCAACTGCAGGGCCTCAGTCCATCCTGCAATCACACCATTCACCGGGAAACTGGCCGGTTGACCACGATCAACAGAGCTGTCGAACACAGTGCCATCAACCAATGTGCCATGGTAATGGGTGGTTACTGTGTCTGAAGCCGTTGGTTTAGGACCTGAGCCTTCAGTAATCACTTCATACAACAATCCCGAAGGCAGCTGCGTTACCCCCTCTCGCGTCGCGTATTCCGCACGAAAAGCCTCACCCGCTTCGCGCACACCAGCGCTGGCTTCCGCCTGTTTTGCGCCCACAGCAGCTTGAAGTGCGGTAAAAACCCGCTGCTGATCCGCGTCGCTCACCTGACTGGTCTTGTCGCCAACAAAATCTTTGGCACCTTGCAGATAGGCATCCGCATCGATAACACCGTCTGTTTGTTGCAGCAGGTCTTCGATCTGCTTAAATCCCAGCAGATAGCTGGCCTCTTTTACTTCACTGTCTAAAGCCACTGTCTCACCCTCTGCCTTTGTTGTTTCACTTTCTGCAATTGCCGACTGGTCACAGCCAGCCAGTAATAGTGCCAGCCCAAGATAGGCCAGCACGCCCGTATTTCCGAATACGCATTTGCCCAAAACGCCTGATTTGGATTGAATCTTCAATTTCGCGTCCTTATTTATCGATTTACCATTAGTTGCGGCCTGTATTACTACCGGGTTACATTCTCCACACAGGACCTACTCGTGAGTTTGGTAACCTGCCTGGGTGACATCGCTTCTCTGGGGAAACATAAGTCCCTCTGGGGAACATAAAAAGGGCCCCAGGCCTTGTTGGACCGCTGACGCAGCCCGGCATACGTTGTTGGACAGCCGCTTGTTTTGCAAGTTTTTGCCGTCAAACAATGTATATGATGGGGAACCAAGTCATTATCGCGCCAGTCACACATATATGTGCCACGTTTATTTCGTGCCACAAGCCTTGGAGCCGCATCTTAGCAGACGTTGCGGCATTGGCGGGGGGATTTATACGTCTGCTGCATAGGTGGTATACAAGAATGAATTTGCAGTTTAATCGCGGCGTTCGAGCCCTGTTGATTTTTATCTTCGGCAGCTTCGCATCTATAGCACTGGCCCAGGGTGAAATTGCAGAAACTGCAAAAAGCGCCGAAAAAGAGATTTTTGTTGATGTCAAAGCGCCTGTGCTGGAGCCGTTGGACGTGCACGCGCGCACCAGCCTCACTGTGGTTGAACAGCTGCGCCACAATCACTTTGTAAAAAAACCTTTAGACGATGGCATTTCGAGCCACGTTTTCGACAACTACCTTGAAACCCTGGACGGCGGCCGCTCCTACTTTTTAGCCACCGACATTGCAGAATTCGAAGCTTATCGCTATGAACTGGACGATGCGTTAAAACGCGGCAATCTCGACGCTGCTTTCACGATGTTTAATAGATATCAGGAACGGGTGGTTGATCGCCTGAATTTCCTCATTCACGAGATTGAAGGGGGTATCGAGAACATCGACTTCACCGTCGACGAAGACATTGAAATCGACCGGGAAAATTCTCCATGGCCAGCAAATCAGGCTGAACACGACGCACTGTGGCGTAAGCGTTTGAAAGCCGCGGTTCTGTCGATGAAGCTGAATGACAAAGAAGTCGAAAAGATCGGCGAATCTCTGACCAAGCGATACAAGAATCGCCTGAAGCAGGCTGTACAGACCAAAAGCGAAGATGCCTTCCAGGTTTACCTGAATTCGTTTGCGACCACTTACGATCCACACACCCAGTACTTCTCGCCGCGCACCTCGCAGAACTTCAACATCAATATGTCTTTGTCTCTTGAGGGTATTGGGGCTGTTTTGAAAAGTGAAGACGACACCACTTCGGTGGTTCGACTGGTACCCGCAGGCCCCGCCGATAAAGAAGGCTCTATTGGTGTAGAGGATAAAATTATCAGTGTGGGCCAGGGCGAAAACGGCCCGCTTATCGATGTTGTAGGTTGGCGCCTTGATGACGTGGTTGAACTGATCCGCGGCCCGAAAGATTCAACCGTCCGCCTGGAAGTAATACCATCCGACAGTAAAGACGAAGTCAGCAAGGTTGTCGCAATTACACGCAATACCGTCAAGCTGGAAGAGCAGGCGGCACAAGCCAAACTGTTGACACTTGAGCAGGGCAACCGGGCATACAAGATCGGCATCATCGATGTACCTACTTTCTATGTCGACTTTCGTGCCGCCCAGCAGGGTGACGACAATTATCGCAGCACCACGCGGGATGTGAAAAACCTGATTCACAAGCTCGAAGAAGAAGGTATCGACGGCCTGGTGATCGATTTGCGCAATAACGGCGGCGGCTCACTGCAGGAAGCAGATACGCTAACCGGACTGTTCATCGAATCAGGTCCCACCGTGCAGGTGAAATCTGCGCGGCGACGGGCCAATGTGTATGCGGACACTGACGATGACATCACCTGGGACGGTCCCATGGCCGTGATGGTTAATCGGCTGTCTGCTTCGGCGTCCGAGATTTTTGCAGGTGCTATTCAGGATTACGGTCGCGGCGTCATTATTGGCAGCCAGACATTCGGCAAAGGTACCGTACAGACGCTCATACCATTGAATCGTGGCCAGCTGAAGATTACCGCCGCCAAGTTTTACAGGGTCTCTGGCCAAAGCACCCAGCATCAGGGTGTGTTACCCGACGTGTCCTTCCCTGAGTTGTATGACACCGACCAGATTGGCGAAAGCTCGCTGGAAGATGCCATGCCCTGGGACATGATCCAACCCGCGGTTTATGACCACAATAACGCCATCGCCCCTTTCATCGGCGAGTTACAACGGCGCCACGAAGCACGCGTCGCTGACAACGTCGACTTCAACTATGTGCGCGCATTGGCAGCAAAAAGCAAAGAAGCGGCCGCCAGAACCCACGTTTCACTGAACAAAGATAAGCGGCTGGCTCAGAAAGAAGCTGACGACCAGTGGCGTCTTGACCTCGAAAACATGCTTCGCGCAGCCAAAGGTAAAGAACTGGCCACGTCGCTGGATCACCTGGATGACCTTGTAGAAGCTGAAAAGGAAGCCAAAGAAGCTGCAGAAAAAGCCAGCGATACCGACAATGCTGATGCCGAACTGGTTGCGGACGCTGCACAAGCACCTGGGGAAACAGAGGAGGACGTTGAAATCAAGGCTGTAGAAGACGACGCGATGCTGGAAGAAGCCGGCAAAGTGCTACTCGATCTGATGGGCCTTTCCATGCAGATTGCTCAGCTGGAAACACCGGCGAGTATCTCTACGGCAAGTACCGGCACACCTCTACCGCAACCCACCGCGGATGCAGATACTGACGTCGAGGGATAAGCGCCGAATTACCCGCGTGCCAGAAGCCGGCTTTCGAGCCGGCTTTTTTATTGGCTGTATTTCAGCTTGCCAGATCCGCGGGCAATTCAAATTCCAGGGCACGCTGCTTCACTGTCTGCAGCATGGCAGCAACAAAGCTATCAACACTCATGGTGTGCTGCTGGCGATGACCATAACGCCGCAGCGTAACGGTGCCCTCTGCCGCTTCGCGCTCACCAACAATCACCAGATTCGGAATTTTCTGTACCGTACCCTGACGGATTTTTTTCGGTAACGTGTCATCAGAAGGTGCGCGCTCAGCGCGAATCATATGACTACGCAACTGGCTGACAATACCATCCGCATACTCATCAAATTGTTCGCCAACAGTTAAAATCTGCGCCTGTAGAGGTGCAAGCCAGGTCGGAAATGCGCCTGCATAGTGCTCGATCAGGAAGGCGACAAATCGTTCATGCGTGCTGAACGGCGCACGGTGGATACAGAACGGCGTATGTTCGGCGCCATCGGGCCCCACATAAGTAAGTCCCATGCGCCCGGGTACCGCAAAATCAAGCTGCACCGTTGATACTGTTTCTTCACGCCCGGTCACAGTGACAAACTGGAAATCCAGTTTAGGCCCATAAAATGCACCTTCACCCACACCTTCGGTATAGGGAATATCCAGCTCCTGGATCACTTCGCGCAACAACGCTTCGGAATCCGCCCAGGCTTGTGGGTTATCGACATACTTGTCTTTGCCTTTGGGATCTTCCGGATCCCAGCCGGACAGGCGGATCTTAAAATCATCCAGACCCAGCACCGCGTATGCCTGTTTAGACATTTCGATAACCGCTTTGAATTCGTCTTTAAGCTGTTCCTGAGTGCAATAAATATGGGCGTCATTCATGGCCATACCGCGTACACGTACCAGTCCACCTACCGCACCGGAATCTTCAAACCGATACACCTGGCCATATTCAGCCAGGCGCAGCGGCAGGTCACGATAGCTGCGCGGCTCTGCCGAAAATATCTTGTGGTGGTGTGGACAGTTCATTGGGCGCAAACGATAAGACTCTTTGATCCGACGTTCACCTTCATGCGCCTCGGCATCTTCAGCAGACTCCATCACCTCCATCGCCGGGTACATGTCTTCTGCGTAATATGGCAGATGCCCGGTAGTGTGATACAGACTTTCTTTAGCCAGGTGCGGTGTTGCCACACGCTTGAAACCGGCTTGGAACTCGAGCTCTTTGGCAAAATTCTCCAGTTCGTCTCGAATGACGGTGCCATTGGGCAACCATAACGGCAGACCTTTACCAATATCGTTATCGATAGCGTAGATGCTCAGCTCACGGCCAAGTTTTTTATGATCCCGCGCCTGGGCTTCGGTAAACGCCTGTACATGCTGATCGAGGGTTTCCTTGTCGAGAAATGCCCACACATAGATCCGCGTCATCATCACATTGTCTGAATTACCCCGCCAATAAGCGCCAGCAACACTGCGAATCTTGAACGCATCTCGGGGAATATCTTTGGTGGTCGCCACATGAGGGCCTTCACACATATCGAGAAATGGGCCATTACGATAAAACGACAGCCCTTCCAAACCGTGTTTTTCGATCAGCTCCGCGCCATATTCTTTTTTATAGGGTTCACCCATTTCATCAATGCGCGCCAGGGCTGCTTGCGCATCAAGATCTTCGCGATCGAAACGCTGGCCCTTTTTGCAGATCTTTTTCATGCGACGTTCCAGGTCAGGAAAATCTTCATCGGTGAGCGGCGCACTTAAAATAAAGTCGTAATAGAAGCCGTCGCTGATAGGTGGCCCAAAACCTAAGGTACTCCCCGGGCGCATTTCCAGTACAGCCTGGGCCATAACATGCGCCAGACTGTGCCGAACCTTGTATAGCTCGTCCTGCACCTCGTTCTCACCACTGTGTTCAAAAGTAGCCATTATCAATTCCCATTTTCTCAGCACAAAAACACAAAACCCCGGGGGCGCTGCCTTCCGGGGTTTGGTCTATTAAGCAGCGCCCCGTTAAGAGTCGCCGCTGCGCGTAATAATCGCCCTTGCGACGCCTCAAGCCCACCCGATAGTTCGGGTGCGCTGGTCGCTGGTAGTTTGCAATCGTTTACACATATTCATGGCGCGGCAATGTATCACAGGCTCACCTGTTAATTGTAGTCCTTCTTGCCAGCCATGCATCCACGTACAATGCCGCCAATGGAATGGTTACCAACAAGCATTATCGATTGGGGAGTACCTCTGCTGATCATCACAGGGGTTACGGCTGGCGCTGGCTGGCTGTTGGGGCAAAGCTACCTGAATCACCCCAATAACCGCCTTTATAGACAGCTCGCGTTTGTCGGATTGTTTATTTTCTCCCAGATGGCGCTGGCTATTGCACTGCCGTTTGACGATGCCACCCAAAGCCAGCTGTTGACCCTGTTTGGTTATGCCCTAACCGCCGTCATTGCATTATCGTCCACTTCATTTGTCAGTAACGCTATGGCGGGATTGATGCTGAAAGCCATGGGCACATTCAAAACAGGAGACTTTATCCAGGTTCTGGATCAGTTTGGCCGGGTTACCGCCAAAGCCCTCCTGCATACCGAAATTCAGAGCGAGGACCGCGACGCCATCGCTTTACCCAACATGTTTGTCATCAGCAACCCGGTCAAAATTGTAGATCAGAGTGGCACTCTGGTTTCTGCCGAAATTGGTATTGGCTATGACACACATCGGCGCAAAGTTCGTGAGCTGTTACTTGTTGCCGCTGAGGCAGCGGGTTTAACCGACCCGTTTGTGCAGATCCTCGATATTGGTGACTTCGCCGTGCGTTACCGGGTAACTGGCTTTCTGACAGACGTCGGTAAACTTGTCAGTATGCGCAGCGATCTGAAAGCACAGATACTCGACACGCTGCACAATGGGGGCGTCGAAATCATGACGCCTTCGGTTATGAACCAACGGCCCCTTGATCCTGAAAAACCTGTGGTGCCGGTGGAGCAGGTCACCTCTGAAGACGACAGCGATCATGGTAAAGCCGAACGCATGATGTTCGATAGAGCTGACCTTGCTGCACGCATTGAACGATTTCGTGAGCACGCCAGAACCCTTGGTGCGGAAATTAAAGAACTCGAAGACCAGGACGCGGAAAAACACGCTTCCGAAATTTCCTGGCGTAAACACCAGATTCAGGCACTGACAGACCTCGTCGAAAAGTTCGATTCACCTAATGATTGAATTTCCGGACCTGCCTAACCTGCACGCCCTTGGCGTGATGCTGTTGACGATTGCCGCGCTTTACGCATTCAGCAAAGACAACTGGCTGCTGGAAGTGACTTCGGTGTCACTGCTGGTCATTCTGGTTGTTGTATTCGCTCTATTTCCTTATGCCGAGTTCGACCCGGTAGATCTATTTGCCGGCTTTGCCAATGAAGCGTTGATTGCAGTATGTGCACTCATGATTCTTGGTCAGGGTCTGGTAAGAACTGGCGCACTGGAACCGGTTGGCCGCATGCTGGGTAAACTATGGGGGCGCGCACCTTTCCTTTCTCTGCTGTTGACGCTTGTGGTGGGTGCGTTCCTGTCCGCTTTTGTTAACAACACGCCTATCGTCGTATTGCTGTTACCGATACTGATCAGCGTCTGCCTGCGCAACAAATCATCGCCAGCAAAAGTGTTGATGCCGATGGGTTTTGCGACGCTCCTCGGGGGTATGGCGACCACCATCGGCACCTCAACGAACCTTCTGGTTGTCAACGTAGCGGCTGATCTGGGGCTAGAAGCATTTGGCTTATTCGATTTTGCGCTGCCCGCGTCTATTGCTGCCTGCGTAGGTGTCGTCTATCTGTGGCTGATAGCCCCTCTGCTTCTGCCAGAACGCGAATCCAAACTGTTGGATCCTTCGCCACGTCTGTTTAACGCCCGCCTGCTGCTGAAAGAAAATTCTCTTGTGCTGGGCAAGACTCTGGGTGAAGCCATCGCACTTACAGGTGGTGATATGAAAGTGGTGCGCGTCCGTAGAGGCGAAACCATGGTCATGCCGCTGCCGGATGTGGTGCTGAAAGTCGGCGATAGACTTCGTGTACAGGACACACCCAGCAACCTGAAGAAGTTCGAAGAAGCGCTGAAAGCTGAATTGTACTCAGGTGACACCCGTGTAGACGATGAACATCCGCTGGCTGGCGACAATCAGACCCTGGCTGAAATTGCCGTTGTGCAGGGTTCCAGCCTCGACCGGGCCAACCTGAGTTATGCGCGCTTTCTCGATCGCTACCAGCTTGCGGTACTTGCATTACATCGCGCCGGCAAAGATGTATGGCGTGCCACGGAGGAAATTCACGAAGTGATTCTCCAGCCTGGCGACGTGTTGCTGGTACAGGGCCCCAAGGAACAGCTCAGCCTGCTGAAACGTTCCACCGAGTTTATGGTGTTGGACAGCAGTATCGACCTGCCCAGTTCAGCCCGCGCACCGCTGGCTCTGGGCATTCTGGCAACTGTTGTCGCCATAGCCGCCCTGGGCATCATGCCCATCGCCATCACCGCGGTCGCCGGTTGCGCAGCAATGCTGTTAACACGCTGTCTATCCATAGGTGAGTCGCTGCGCGCGATCAGCCCATCCGTTTATTTTGTAGTTGCTGCAAGTCTGGCGCTGGGGATGGCGCTACAGGTTACCGGTGCCACGGTTTATCTGACTGAAGTATTTCTGTACGTGACAGCAGGTTCCCCGCCGATTGTTGTGCTCTCGGCCCTGATGTTACTGCTGGCGGTTTTAACCAACATCGTCTCCAACAATGCCGCAGCGGTGATCGGCACACCTATCGCGGTCGGTATTGCTCAGGCACTACAACTGCCTGCAGAACCTTTTGTGCTGGCAGTTCTGTTTGGGGCTAACATGAGCTACGCAACACCGATGGCTTACAAGACAAACTTACTGGTGATGAGTGCCGGCAACTATACCTTCCGTGAATTTGTCAAAGTGGGCGTGCCTTTGACTATTCTCATGTGGATCACGTTGACATGGTTATTGTCGGTTATGTACCTGTGAGAAAAGGTTTTATCTTTACCTTTGTGTGCACTTTTTTTTTCGTCAGCGCGTCAATCCAGGCTGACACAGAAACAGACAGTGCCAATCCTTTCCAACCGAATATTCTGCTCCTGGTCGCAGAAGACCTCAGCCCACGCATCGGCAGTTTCGGTGATGCCCTGGCCAAGACACCGAACATTGATCAGCTTGCCGCCCAGGGCACCCGCTATACCAATGTGTTCACAACCGCAGGCGTTTGTGCCCCTAGTCGCGCCGCGCTGATTACCGGTCAGCACCAGATCAGTTTTGGTGGCCAGCACATGCGCACCACAACCGGTCCTCTGGGACCTTATCTTGCACAACCTGCTGCAGGCGTAAGAGCTTTTCCAGAACTACTGCGGGCTGCCGGCTACTACACCTACACCGATCAGAAACTGGATTATCAGTTCAGCAGCGTCTACGCCGGCAGTGGTCCATTTACAATATGGGACGAAGACGGCGCGGTGCCGACCGCCTGGCGTAATCGTGCACCCGGACAACCTTTTTTTGCGCTGATCAACTTTCTGGAGACCCACGAAAGCGGCGTGATGCAGGCCACAGGCCCGGCCCACAGCCCGGCCCACGCAGCAACCCAGAAGATGCGCCAGGCACGCGGTCTTGTTGCACCTGCCATCACTGATCCAGCCGAGGTGGTGTTGCCACCCTACTATCCGGATTTACCTGAAGTGCGCGCTGACATGGCGCGCCACTACGACAACATTCACGCTATGGACAGGCGCGTAGGAGAAATTCTTGCCGCGCTTGAAGCAGACGGCTTGAAAAACGACACACTGATTGTCTGGACCACCGATCACGGCGATGGCCTGCCGCGCGCAAAGCGAGAATTGTTTGACTCTGGCACAAAGGTACCTTTGGTCCTGCACGTGCCAGCGGCACTCGCCGCCACAACCGCGACCGAGCCCCCAACCAGGAACGACACCGTCGATCACCGCCTGGTGAGTTTTGTTGACCTCGCCCCGACACTGCTGGCGTTTGCCGGAGTGACAGCACCCCCTTATCTGCACGGTGAAAATTTTCTGACTTCGAACCGAACCTACGTTTATGCATCACGCGATCGTATCGATGAGATCATGGACCGGCAGCGCAGCATTCGCAGCGACAGATATAAATATATAAAAAGCTGGTACCCCGATGTTGCCGGCGGACATCCGCTGAACTATCGGGATAATCTGGATATGGTCAGAGTCTGGCGAAAGGCCTGGCAGGCAGGCACATTGCCAGCCGTGCAATTCCGCTGGTTTAAGCCCGCCGGTGCGGAGCAGCTTTACGATATTGTGGCTGACCCGCATGAACTGACTAATCTGGCGAGCTCAACTGACCATCAGACAATATTGAGGGATATGCGCAGCGCCTTAGATACTTTCCTCGCAGAAATCGGCGATACAGGCGCTATACCGGAAGCAGAGCTGCGCGCTATGTATCTGCAGGACGGCGCGTTGCCACAGACACCACCCCCCTCTGTTGTCATCAAAAACGGTATCTTGATCTTGACCAGCGAGAATGATGCATCCATCGGATACCGACTAAGTAGTAACCCCAACTGGCATTTATATACACAACCCGTCAGCATCAAAGACAGTCAGTTAAGCAGCGTTACCGTGAAGGCAGTCCGCTATGGATGGCGTGAAAGCAGGGAAATTTTACATCGTTTTCATTAAGGCTTAGTCCTAGTGCAATTACACTATGTTACGATCGCGAAAACTTGCTTAGCCTGTACGCAGTCGCGTACGCTCATTCTTAAGCGTCTCCAAACTAAATCTTTGTAGCTTAAGACAGTCTCAGGCGCCGAACGAACAGCACAGGTTAAGCAGGAGACCAAGAGCCGCAGACGCACCAAGAAGTTGAGAATTGGGATTGGAAGTCATGAACAGTTGGATGAAAAAATTATTCGACGCCAGTAAAAAGGACAACACTCGACGTACCCATCAACGTCAACAGGATCCAGTAACCGCTAGAAAATCACCACAGTCTTTTCAGGCGGTCTCTATTTACAGCCGCAGTGATTGCTGTGAAGCCGCGCAGCGAATTACCGGTAAGAAATTTTTAGCCGCTCACGCCCCTCAGCTACCGCTGGGCGGTTGTGACCAGCCAGCTCAATGCCGTTGCCGCTACAAACACATGTCTGATCGCCGCGAGGAGATGCGCAGAGATACCGATAACGGTCTACCTGCGCGTCAGATGCTCAACGGCGAGCGTCGAAACCGCCGCGATCGTAGACATCATTTCGTGAGTTAGGGCACTACCAACATTCATGTCAGTGTTTATACTCAGGTTTTAAACCCAAACGGTGACATCATGAGCGAAGTGGACAGCAACAACCCTCGCGCCAACCGCGGCGACATTTTTACCCGATCAAATGAAGAACTGCTGGCCGAGTGGGCCATCGACACCTCCGTCGACCCGGCAACCATACCCCTTAGCGAACTAAATCCGGGCCACCCCGACCTGTTTGAAGATGCCAGACAAATGCCCTACTTCGGCCGCCTGCGCGAACAAGACCCCGTGCATTACACTGAAGTCAGTCAATTTGGACCCTATTGGTCCGTGACCAAATTTGAAGACATCATGTATGTCGACAGTCACCACAACCTGTTTTCTTCAGATTTTCGCAAAGGCGGTATCTCTCTCGGCGGTGTTGCACAGCCTGAAGGTGCTGATGATTTTGATCTGCCGATGTTCATCCAGGAAGATCCGCCAAAACACGATCAACAACGCAAAGTTGTTGCGCCTATGTTTACCCCGTCAAAACTTGCGGGCCTGGAAGATCTGATTCGCAAACGCGCCTGCGCCATATTAGACAATCTCCCACGCAACAAAGAATTCAACTGGGTAAAAGAGGTCTCCGTTGAACTCACCGGTCAGATGCTGGCCACTTTGTTCAACGTGCCCCAGGAAGACCGGCATAAACTCATTTACTGGTCTGATGCGGTGCAGAATCTGGGTAATCCAGAATTTTTTGCCACCATCGAAGAGGGCTTTGGCGAGCTGTGGAAGTGTTACGAGTATTTTGCAGCCGTCTGGCAGGAGCGTCTGGCGCAAAATGAGCCCGGCGACGACCTAATCTCCATGCTCGTGCATGGCGAAGCCACACGTGATATGCCACCAAACGAATACCTCGGCAACATTCTGCTGCTTATAGTTGGTGGCAATGACACCACGCGTAACTCCATCAGTGGCGGTGTACTTGCGCTTAATCAGTTTCCCGAGCAGTACAACAAACTGCGCGCAGACCATAATCTGATCAATACCATGGTGCCTGAAATCATCCGCTGGCAATCACCGGTTGCACACATGGCCAGAACCGCTCTGACCGACACCGAACTCGGTGGCAAGCAGATTAAAGAAGGTGATCGTGTTGTCATGTGGTATCTGTCCGGGAACAGAGATGGTGACGCCATAGAAAACCCGGATGAGTTCATCATAGATCGCAGCAATCCACGCAAACATGTTTCTTTTGGCTTTGGCATCCACCGTTGTGTAGGTAATCGCCTTGGCGAGATGCAGCTGCGTGTGTTGTGGGAAGAGATCATGAAACGATTCGATCATATAGAGGTCACCGGCCAGCCGGTTTATCTGAAATCGAGTTTCATCAATGGTATCCGTGAACTACCGGTCACCATTCGCGACTGAACCCGTTAAACGACGCCGGCAGCACTAACCGCTGCCGGCCACGGTTGCCTGTTCCTCACGAACTTTCAGCAACAGCACTGCGCCAATGATCATCAGAATGGCCAGCGAGGCAAAACCCGCGCGCTGAGACTGGAAGAAATCCGTTGTGGTTGCCACCATCAAAGGCGCCAGAAATGCTGTCACCGTGCCGGATAAAGCAAACAGACCAAAAAACTGTGTGGCCATTTGCGGCGGAGATATACGTGCCATCAACGTGCGGGAAGAAGACAAACCCGTGACAAAAAACATCGCAAAAATCTGATTCGAGATGAAGTAGCAGATCTCTGCCGTGGTCTGAAAGTAGGGAAAATCCCAAACCGGCTCGGTACTCACCGATACCACATAAAGCACTGTCCCGGGTTGTATCGAAACCAGGACAAGCAGGACCAGCGAACTCATGCCGATGGCAATCTGCAGCGCTCTTATTGAACCCAGCTTATCGTCCAGCTTACCGCCAACGTAAGCCCCCAACATAGCCGATGCGCTGCTGCACAATCCAAAAATCAGCAAGGTGGTGGATTCCCAGCCAAAAGTACCCGACGCATAAACGCCGCCGAAGGTCATTACACCCACCATACCGTCGATAAAAAACATCCGGGACAGCAGGTAAATGGCGATGTTTGAGTAGTGCTTGAGTTGTTTCACTGTCTCGATGACATCGCGTATGCCCTGGCGGGCAGCAACCAGCATCGGCGTGCTAGAAGTTTTTCCATCCGGCGTGAAAAACAATACCGGCAGCGTCATCAACAACATCCACACCGCTGAAATTGGGCCTACTACACGGTCATGTTCATGACTGGTGCGGTCCAGGCCAAAAAGAGGTTCGGCCGGCAAAAAACTCCAGGGCTGCGTACCCGGCATGGCAAAAGCAAACAACACAAACAGCATCAACAACAGACCGCCGACGTTACCCAGCGCAAATGCCATCCCCGAAATTGCGCCTACCTTGTTGACCGGGGCAACCGAAGGCAGCATGGCATTGTGGAAGACTTCAGAAATGGCGAAGGCGACGCTGATGACCAGAAGTATGAGCAGAGCCCAGACTATACCTACACCACCCCCTTCCGGCAGCACAAACCACAACAAGCCAGCGCCAACAACCATCACCAGCACCGTCGCAGCGACCCAGGGTTTACGCCGGCCGTTTTTATCTGCAATTGCTCCCAGGAAAGGTGCCGTCAGCATCAGGATGAAACCCGCGGTCGCGTTCAGATAACCAATTAAGCTCTGCCCCTGAACAGGATCGCCGACCACCGTATTGCTGAAATACGGAAAGAAAATATAGATCACCACCATGATGTAATAGGGATCACGGGCACCTTGACCAAAGGTCCAGGAGTAATAGCCGATCGGCGCAGCAGCAGGCGTGCCCGCCAGGGACAGTGCTTTTGTATTCAAACTAGATCCTCTGATTAGCCGTTGAGCCGCTCGACTTTGTGGGCCGCACCAGTGCTGCCTTTGGTGACGCCCTGAATTTTGGCATCACGCGCGGACACCTGGGGAAAACGCTTGGAAAGCTCGGGGCCTGCAGCGGTGAGCCCACCGTCGACCACCAGTTTTTCACCGGTCACAAACTCAGCATCGTCGCTGGCGAGAAACAACGCAGCACCCGCAATATGCACACCCTTGCCAAAATCCGGCCAGGGCTGTGCCTGGGCAAACCTGGCTTCAATTTTTTCCGGTGCCCCACCGGCAGCCAGAGGCGTCGCAATAAACCCCGGGCAGATGGCGTTTACCCGGATTCTGTCTGGTGCCAACTCAACCGCCGCACTCTGGGTCATACTGATCACAGCCGCTTTGGCCGCGGAATAAACCAGAGGTCCGGCATCGCCACTCAGACCTGCAATTGACGCTGTATTGATAATGGTGCCACCGCCACCTTGAGCACGCATGTGTCGGGCGCCATGTTTGATACCGAGAAAAACCCCTTTCGCAAGCACATCCATGGTGTAGTCCCAGGATTCTGTGGTGGTTTCCGTAAGCGGTCCGATGGCGCCGCCAACACCTGCATTGTTGAAGACAATGTCGACGCGACCGAAGTCAGTGCAGGCCAGATCGAACATTTTTTCAATGTCAGCTTCCAGTGCGACATCTGTTTTTATAAATCTCACAGAATCAGCGAAACCCTGTTCCGATGCCTGCTGCAGAACATCGGCACCGGTAATCTCGTTAAAATCCGCGATGACGACACGCGCCCCTTCAGCGAGAAAGCGCATGACTGTGTCTCTTCCCATGCCGCTCGCACCACCCGTGATGATCGCAACCTTATTCTGCAAGCGCATACTCTCCCCTTAAGCCTATGCTATTGATCAGGTACAGTAGCATGAGGTCATGGGCTAAGGGGAGCCGGAATAATGGACGTACGCACACTTATGCGCCGCGCTGCGCAACACTACAGCGGGCATGAAGCGATAGTACATCGCAGCCGGAGACTGACGTTTGCACAAGCCTGGCAACGTGGCGTGCAATTGGCCAACGGGTTGCGAAGCCTGGGAATAGAACCCGGTGATCGAGTTGGCGTCCTGGAGGACAACGGCATTGAGGCCGGTGATCTTTTTGTTGGTGCAGCGGTTGCCAACGCGGTCCGGGTGCCCCTGTACCCACGTAATGGCCGCAGTGCCCACCTCCATATGCTGGGTCATACCAACTGCAAAGTGCTGCTGGTCAGCGCAGCCTACGCTCACGAGGTTGCCGATTTGATGGACGAGCTGCCTGATCTGCAACATATCGTGATTCGCGATGACGGTTATGAAACATGGCTGGCGCAATTCAGTGACACAGACCCTGATGTCGACATCAACCCGGACAACTATTTCATTATTCGCCATACCGGCGGCACCACAGGATTATCCAAAGGTGTCGCTTATACACACAAAGCCTGGCTGGCAGCAGGACGAGACTGGTTTTATACCTTCCCGCCTGTGATACCTGGCGATAAATGCCTGCACCTGGGACCGATATCACACGGCTCGGGTTACCAGTTTTTACCGATTTGGTTAAGTGGCGGATGTAATGTCATGCAGGACGAATTTGTCCCCAATCAGACCCTGGACCTCATCGAGCAGGAACAAATCGCTTACGCGTTCATGGTGCCCACAATGGTTAACGCGATCGTGCATGACAATACCGCGCGCGGGCGCAATTATAGCGCGCTGAAATGTCTGTTGATTGCTGCTGCACCCATTGCCGACGCTACCGCTCTGGCGGCACGGGAAGTGTTTGGTGACGTTTTGTACCAGGGCTACGGGCAAACCGAAGTACTACCTGTTGCAATGATGAATTCCCAGCAGTGGTTTGCTTCCCAATCCGGATCCAACCCGCTCCGCGCTTGCGGCTTAGCGTTACCGTTTGCAGAAGTTGAAATCTGGGATGAAGACAATCAGCCGCTGGCGGCAAACGAAGTCGGCGAAATAGTCGCAAAAAGCGACGGCATGATGAGCAGCTTCTGGAACAACCCTGAAGCAGATGCGCAGAGAATTGTTAACGGATGGATCAAAACTGGCGATCTGGGCAAACTCGATAAAAACGGCTATCTATATATTGTCGATCGGGCAGACGACATGATCATCTCGGGGGGTTACAACATCTGGCCGGCAGAACTGGAGAACGTCATCGCCAGCCATCCCGACGTTGTAGAAGTCGCTGTTTTTGGTATTCCACATCAACGTTGGGGCGAGACGCCCTTTGCGGTTTGCGTAGTCAATGCCAACAGTACCCTGTCAGAAGACGAAGTTACCACCATGGTGTCGGAGGCGCTGGGCTCTTACAAAAAGCCTGGCGGCGTGAAAATAACCCGGACCCCGTTACCTAAGAGCCCGGTTGGGAAAATCAAACGTAAAGATTTGCGCGAACCTTACTGGGAAGGCGTAGAGCGTCGCGTCTCAGGCAGCTGAGTCGTCTTCCGGTGTTGGCTTTTTCGGGCCGCCAGTCGTCTTGTCAGCTGCAGAACGCGTTTTTGCGGCGTCGCTTTTGAAACTCGATTCAAAGGCCTGGCGCATGACGTTCAGCGGATTCAGCGCGTTAAACTGACGCATGCGGTCGCGATACAGCTCCTGCTGCTCTATAAACGCGGAAATCGCTTCTTCAATATAACGACTTACGACCCGCCCAACGCTGTCTCCATAAAATCGAATCAGTTGCTCGATCGTGCGATTGGTCAGGATAGTGCCATGCCCTTCCTGTTCCTGCTCCGCCAGAATCTGCAGCAGCACCGACCGGGTGATGTCTGTTTCCTCTTTAGAATCAATGACCTGAATGCTCACGCCTTTGACAATCAGTTTGCGTACATCATCCACGGTGACATATTTGCTGTCGGTCATGTCGTAAAGACGACGATTCGGATATTTTTTTAACTTATGCACTGACGCTGCGCTGCTCCAGATCGCGGATACCTAATTCACTGCAGTATGGCTGGCAAACCGCACTCCGAGCATAGTGCCGGTATGTGCAAACTTTTACCAGTCGCCATGAGGCTGCCGGACCCACCTCTGATACTGAAAGGCAGAACTTAAGCGCAGCTGACTTGTGCACCACAACATCGCTGGGATTGTACATTTCCACCTCACAAACAGACCGCTGAACTGAGCAAATCCCTTTAGATCAAGCGTAAGCAGGCAAAAAGTACCGCACCAATCTGGAACAGGGCTAATAAAAATGTTGCAATGCAAAAAAACACCGGCAAAATGGATATGGTCAATTTTCAGGACCATTTGCCGATGCCAAATCCCGCCCAACATCGACTGCTGAGTATGTCTGAACTGCCTCGCGCCGGCCTTGAGCTGGCTTCTTTGGCCGCATCGGCGCCCTGGCTGAGCCTGTCACCGCGCGGCGACAACCACCCTGTCGTGGTGATACCGGGCTTCCTTGCCAGCGATGATTCAACCGCACTGCTGCGCAGATATCTGACCTTCCTGGGCTATGACACCTATACCTGGGGCCAGGGTCGCAATCTCGGCATAAGCAAAATGGGTGGATACGAGCCACTGGTTAATCACGTGTTAAGGATCTACCGCAAAACCGGTCGTACCGTCAGCCTGGTCGGCTGGAGTCTGGGGGGTGTCCATGCGCTGGCGGTTGCCGACCGCGCAGGTTACGCGGTGCGCCAATTAGTTACATTGGGCAGCCCGATCCGTACCGAAGGTCCCACCACCGCCATGTTCACCGCCTTGCGCAGTGCCGCTCGCCAGCTTAACGGCGAGCTGCTGAACACACCAACCGTACCCAGTTTTGGTTTACGGCACGGCTTGCAGAACGTTTCTGCAAAGATTCCGGTGACAGCTATCTATAGCCGCACTGACGGTGTGGTGCACTGGCGCCGCGCCCACGTGGAAGAATCCGCACGACGACAGAATATCGAAGTTCACTCGAGCCATATCGGCCTGGGCATTCACCCCGCCGTGTTGTACGCAGTTGCTGACCGACTCGCTTTAGAGGAGGCCAGCTTCACACCCTTCCACCGCCAGGGGTGGCGCGCTCTGAGCTATCCCAAAGCCGTCTCCGGACAGATAGACCAGACAAAATAAACCCTTAAAAGATGTGTCAGATTCATTGATACGTCACAATTCAATTGTATGATGCGCGCAGATCGCGTCATGCACCATTGCGGATCAGATGGATCCGATCCTGCACCGCGGTAACGCACCTATACCTGTCTGACTCAGCTCGAAACCCGGAAAATCCGGGGGCAAACGAGTGGCACAGAATTTGAATAGCATTAAACAACACACCCCAACCACCAGACGACAAAGGAGAATATACCAGTGAACAAGCTAACGGCGACCGACGCTAGCTTCATATACGCTGAAACTAAAGACTGCCCGATGAGTATTGCTTCATTGCAGTACATGCAGTTGCCGGATAACACAACCGTTGAAGAATTTGTTAGTTCCCTGAAACATTTCATTTCACAGCGCACGCCCCTGGTACCTTATCTGACCAGCCGCCTGGAACATGCAAGCGGCAATCTTGATCATCCGAATTGGGTTAAAGATGCAGACTTTGATATCAACAACCATATCTACACCGTAGCCGTGCCTGCCCCCGGCGGGTTCAAGCAGGTAGAGCAGACCGTAGCCCGTCTCCACGAACACGCGTTGCCCAGACACCAGCCACTGTGGGACATTGCTGTCCTCACCGGACTGGCCAACGGACAGGTTGCGTACTACAACCGCGTACACCATGCATGTCTGGACGGCGTTGCCGCCCAGGCTTCTTACAACATCCTCATGGATCAGCAGCCCGACGGCGAAGTACCCACCCAGGGGCTTGAGCCTGGAGATCGCAGACCCATGACTCGCGCTGATCAGTTAACCGGTTTACTGACCGAGATGACCAAACAGAGCATCAACAGCGTCACGCGCGCGCCAGGCAGACTCAACGCTATGGCGCGCCTGCTGCAGCGGAGTATTGATCCGAGCAAAGGTTTGAGCACCGCCATGGCAGCGTGCCCGACGACGGTATTGAACCGACACATCGACGAAAGACGCGTATTTGCAGCGGGCGAACTTCCGCTATCCGGCGTAAAACACTTGGCTAAGCACCTTAACTGCACCATCAACGACGTCTTTCTAAGCCTGTGTGGCGGCGCACTACGCACCTACCTGAATCGACACGGTTCACTGCCGGACAGGACTTTGATCGCCGGCTGTCCTGTATCGCTGCGGGCCGCCAACGATGCCAGTGCCAACAATCAGGTATCAATGATGCGCACCGCTCTGGGCACAGATATTGAAGATCCGGTTGAGCGCGTGGGTTATGTGGCCCACCAGGCACGCATGGCCAAAGAAATGCTTGCGGAGACATCCCCGCTGATGCCCGCAGACCTGCACATGCCGTTTTTCGGTTTGGCTGCCAGGGGGCTGCAAACCGCTGCCGCTTTAATGAAATGGGCAGACCACACCCCTCCTCCAGTCAACGTTGTGATTTCCAACGTGCCAGGACCACGGGTGCCACTCTATTCTAATGGCGCGCGAATGCTGAGCCACTATCCGGTCTCAATCCCGGCACATGGGGCGGGCCTCAACATCACCGTGCAAAGCTATGTGGATCAGTTATTCATTGGTGTAACCGCAGCCACTCGGGTTGCACCGGACGCTGACCGGTTGAGAGACGATATACAGGACGCCTATGCAGCACTGCACAACGCCGTCTCGGCTGAGATAGTACCGTTAGAAACGAATAAAATGGCCGAAGACATCTTGTTTAAAGCTGCTGCAGATCTGGCATTACCGCCAGGAAACGTCTTCGTAGAGAAGGTAGCTTAAAAATATGTCGTTTTTTTTGAAAAAGTTGTTGCATCGCACAATTGTGTGGTGCACAATTCTCCTCGTTGTGCAGCGCACCATGTGTTGCAAAAATCTCAACAGCTGCTGGGCGTTTGCAATGCATCCTTCAGCAGAAGTAAACGACTAGAGGAAATGAGAATGAGTGTTATCGAAAATCAAATGAAACTGGGTCGCGAATTGTTCGAAATCAACACCCAAGTGGCGCGTCGCATGGCCGAAATCACCGGCGAAGGTTTCAAGCAGTATTTTGAAACCAACCAGGAATTCATGAAGCGTATGGCTGAAATCCGCGACATCAGCGGTTTCGTTGAAATGCAGCGTGAATACGGCAAAACGTTATACAACGGCATGACCGAGCGCCTGCAGACACGCGGCGAAGTGCTGAAAGACGCAGTAGAGCGCAGTGGTGAAGCTGTTCGCGACGCATTCACAGCAAACAACGACGCTGTCGCTGCAGCTAACGAAGAAGTTGCTGAAGCAGTCGACGCAGCAGTTGCCGCTTAAGGCATACAGAACACACAGCCTCGCGCCAGCGTGGGGATTGTAAGTTCAATTGTTATCAAGGGTGCAGCAACTGCACCCGACAGTTAACGCGGGGCAGGCCTGATCTTCTCTCCCCTCTCCCCTTTCAGGTCTGCCCTTCGCTATTTCTAACGCGTTACACTACGAGTACACACAACCCCTTCCGCGGATAAGGACTGTCACTGTGCAACAGCTTTCGCTCCAAGACGCTTCATTCATCTATCTCGAAACGCCTGCCACGCCAATGCATGTCGGGTCGTTATGTATTTACGATGGCAGCCAGACTGACCCGGAACGCCTGACGGAAGAGGCTCTTAGCCGCACGGTCAGTGAACGCCTGCATCTCAACGCAACCACCCGACGGCGCCTGGTGAAGGTACCTTTCGAAGCTGACTACCCTTACTGGATCGAAGATCGAGATTTTGACCTCGAATATCACCTGCGCCGCGTGGCATTGCCGAGTCCGGGCGACCGTGATGCGCTGCAACAACTGGCGTCACGTATTTTCGCTCGACCCATGGACATGACCAAACCGCTCTGGGAACTCACCGTCATTGAGGGATTGAACAATATTCCTGGATTACCTCCCAACAGCTTTGCAGTACTCACCAAAACACACCATGCCGCGGTTGATGGGGCTTCCGGGCTGCATTTTCTGGAGTTATTGCACGATCTGTCACCGGCACCAACACCCATTCCGGCGGCACGCGAATCATGGCAGCCAGAGCCCGTACCCACAGACGCAGAGCTTTTATTTCGCAGTGGTGTGAAAAATTTCACCCAGCCCTTCCGTTTCGCGCAAACCCTGGGCCGCCAATTCAGCCAGCAGATGAGTGCGTTCCCTAACGGAGGCGCACCCGGCGGAGAAAACTCGTTCAGCACGCCACCGCAAGCAATTCCAAAAACACGCTTCAACGGCATGGTAACCGCCCATCGAGTGCTGGGATCAATCAGTGTCAGCCTCGCTGACATCAAGGAAATTCGCCAGGTTGTACCTGGTGCAACCGTAAACGATGTGGTGTTGGCGGTCTGCGGCGGCGCTCTACGCTCCTACCTGCATGCAAAAAACGAAATTGATCAGACGTCGCTGGTGGCCATGGCCCCGGTCAACCTGCGTGTACCTGGCAGCGACGCGCAAGATAGCGAAGCCGCTGGCGGCAATCGTGTTTCCGCGCTGTTTGTTTCTATCGGTACTGACATAGAAGAACCGTTAGCGCGCTTGCAACACATCCATGCGGAGACCAGTAAAAGCAAACTCATACACCAGGCTGTTGGGGCATCTGATATGACCAACTACAGCAAGTTTGTACCGGCTTTTACCGCGGCGCTGGCTTCACGGTTGATGACAGAAACGGCTGCAAATGCACCAGCACCGCCGTTTAATGTCTCGATCACCAACATACCCGGGCCCCAGGAACCGCTCTATTTCAGTGGTTCTCCCATGGTGACCGCAATTGGTCTTGGCCCCATCACACAAGGTATGGGGTTGATTTTCCCTGTGCTGTCTTACTGCGGTCGCGTGACGATTTCATTCACCAGCTGCAGAGAGATTCTTCCCGACCCGGCGTTCTTTGAAGCCTGCTTAACACAATCGTTCACCACTTTACTGTACAGCGCGCGGCTCACCAGTGAACGCACCCAATTCACGGAGCATTAACCCATGTCACATAGCAAACCTCTTGCCCTGATCACCGGCGCCTCGTCTGGCATCGGACGGGCATTTGCAAAAGTTTTTGCCCAGCGTGGTTACAACCTGATTATTTGTGCACGTCGGGAAGATAAACTGCTGGAGCTGGCCAACGAGCTGGCACCGCTGTGTGAAGTGCACGTTATTGCTGTTGATCTGGCAAAACGCAGAGGACCAGCAAAGCTGTTTGCAGCGGTCAGTGAAATTGGCCCTGTCGATACGCTGATTAATAACGCAGGTGCTGCCTACCAGGGTCGGTTCGCCTCCATGCCGCTGGAGCGGATCCACGATATTGTGCATCTGAACATGAGGGCATTGAGCGAAACCAGCGCGCTTTTCCTACCCCAGATGCTCGCCGCGGAACAAGGCAAGATCCTCAACGTCAGCTCCGTTGTAGGTTTTCAGGCAGTACCCGGCATGGCCATGTACAGTGCCAGTAAAGCCTTTGTACTATCATTTACCGAAAGCCTGGCTGAAGAAACACGCTGCAGTGGCATCAAGGTCTGCGCGCTGTGCCCGGGTCTGACCGACACTGAGATGGTTGGTGATCTGGGAACAGATCATATCCCCGGCGCGCAGCTGATGATGAGCCAGCCTGAGGATGTTGCCCTGCAGGGTTACAACGCTTTACATCAGGGGGAAGTGATACGTGTACCAGGTATCTTTAACCAGGCTGTTGTAAACTGGGCACATTATCAACCCCGCTGGTTGACCAGAACTCTGGCTGGCATAGCGGAGCGCAGCAACCTTGCACAGCGCCCCGGAACCGCAACACCCGGCAAGCTTTGAGCTTACCGGGCGAAGGAAAGCACATGGATCAAGACAAATCGACCTCAAAACGACCTAATATTGAACAGAATGCTTCAGGGCGCCAGACCGATGGTGGCGTTCCCCTGAACGCTGCGCTTGGCGTTGATCGCAAAGCGTTTATGGACGCCTGGGCAGATATTTTCGAAACTTCCAGGCAGCAACCCGCTGCGTTATGGAATGTGACCCGGGAATTTGCTACCCAATTTGCGAGTATCGCTATGGGTAACAGTGATCTATCACCGGAACCCAATGATAAAAGATTCCAGGATCCTGCCTGGATCGAAAACGGCCTGTACCGACGCTTAGGACAAACCTATATCGCCTGGACCCAGGCTCTGGACGGTTGGTTGGATGAGTCACAGCTGGAAGGTATGAATCGGGAGCGCGCACGCTATGTCTTCGATGCTGCCAAAGACATTTTCGCACCTGTGAATACACTGGTGGGCAATCCTGAAGCCATGCGCATCGCTCGGGAAACTAAAGGCCGCAGCGTCATACGTGGTTTAAAAAACATCGTCGACGATCTGCAGCATAACCATGGCTATCCAGCCTGTGCTGACCGCAACGCGTTTAAAGTCGGCCAGGATGTTGCGGCCAGCGAAGGTGCTGTCGTATATCGATCAGAGCTGCTGGAATTGATTCAATATCAACCCACTACAGACCAAGTTGTCGACGCACCGTTGTTGTATGTCTTCAGCCAGGTCAATCGCTTCTATCTGGGTGACCTCACACCGGACAGAAGTTTATTCAAGCGCCTGCTTGATGCGGGCATACCGGTGTTTGCCGTCAGCTGGCGCAACCCTAAAAAAGAACATCGCAACTGGAACCTGGATTCCTACGCAGATGGCATTATTCAGTCTGTGAGTGTGATCCGGGAAATCACAGGTGCACCCAAGGTCAATCTCATGGGTTTGTGCGCCGGTGGCCTTGCAGCAACAGCGGCGGCAGGCGTTATGAATGCACGCGGCGACGACTGGATCAACAGCTTATCGCTGTTTGTTAACGTACTCGACAATCGACCTGAAGACAGTGACTTTGGACTGTTTGTCAGCGAACGCTCTGTCGAAGCGCAGAAGCAGATGACGCGCATGAGCGGCCTGTTTGAAGAAAAGAACGTGTTTGAAATGTTTGCCATGCTGCGCTTTGAAGAAAACATCATGGGCTTTTTACGCAGCAACTATTTGAAAGGCGAAGACCCGCTAAAACATCCACTGCTGTTCTGGTCTATTGACTACACACGCCTGCCTGCCGGGCTACATGCAGACTTTCTCGACCTGTCGTTACATAACAAACTGGCGAAGCGGGAGATGAAAATTCTAGGCAAACGCATTGACCTGTCTAAGATCGACTACCCTGTTTACATGATGGCGGGTTCTACAGACCACATTACTCCGTGGAAAGCCTGTTATCGCAGCACCCAGTTGTTTAACGCAGACAATGTTCAGTTTGTACTGACCAACCAGAACCATACGCAAACCATCTCCAGCCGTGACGATAACAAACACCTGAAACACTGGATCGGCAAAAGCTATCCCGCTGACCCGGAAGCCTGGCTTAACACCGTCGATGAGCACGCGGGTAGCTGGGTATTAAACTGGATTGATTGGTTGAAAGAGAAAAGCCCCGCCGAACCGGTACAGGCCCCCATCGCCTATGGTAATGACAATTTCCCGGAAATTGATGCTGCACCCGGGCGCTACGTGCTGGAAAGTTGAAAAAGTCTTAGTGCAGATCTCTTTCCAGTAGCTTACAGTTGGCTGAGATAGAGGAAGATCAAGGGGAGATCATGCCAACTTATATCATGCTCAGTACGCTGACCGATGAAGGCCGCAAAACACTTAAAGCGCGTCCTGATCGACTTAAAAGTGTAAACGACGAAGTTGAAGATATGGGCGCCCGCGTCCGCGCCCAGTACGCCGTGTTGGGTGGCTACGACTTTGTTAACGTCATAGATGCGCCTTCTAACGAAGTGATGGCGCGTATATCCATGGAACTCGGCTCCCGTGGCACCATTAAAATCACCACGCTGCCGGGTATGCCGATTGAAGAATTCCTCAACAACATGGCGGCTGCGCCCCCACGTAAGACCGAAGTAAAAGGTGATCAGTAAGCTTTAGCGTCTAGTCTGCACGATGGGCCACTACGTATTGCTGATGAAGTACCACTCCGAGGGATTGGTACAAGCTAAAAAAGACCCTCAGTTCCTGATGGGCATTCACGCTTCCATCGAAAGATGGGAAGCCAGAGTCATCGAAAGCTATCACCTGCTGGGTGAGTACGACCAGTGCACCATCATTGATGCTCCGGACAATTTCACAGCTTATCGAGCAACCCTGGCGCAGGAATTATCCACCACCGCCCATACCGAAATTCTGCCCGCCATTGATCTGCCACTGTTCCAAAGGTTGATCTCACAAAGTGCAGAAACTGGTGGGCCACATACCTGGCAGATTCAAGGCTGGGCACGCTGGGTGCGGCGTATGATGCGTGGTACCGCATTCACTAAATGGGAGAAAGAGTACTTTCAACCATTCACCGTCACTGGCCAGGAAAAAGTTCAGAACATCAGCGGACCCTGCATTGTGGTTGGCAATCATGCATCTCACTTAGACCAGTACGCTTTGCTGGGCGCACTGCCGGAACACATTCGATCCAACATCTATTTTGGCGCCGCTGCAGATCGATGGTTTTTAAAAGGCCGCAAAGAATGGAAGCTCCAGCCCTGGTATCAATCGCTGGTCATGGGGCTATACCCCATCCAACGCGGCGGTGGCAGCAAAACCCTCGACTACCCCAAATGGTTGTTAGATCAGGGCTGTAATCTGATGTTGTTTCCGGAAGGCACCCGTTCTCGCGGAAAATCTCTGGGGAAATTCAAACACGGTGTGTCTATACTGGCGCTGGAAAAGCGCGTACCCGTGATTCCAATCTATATGACCGGCCTTAAAGCCATTCGTCCACCTGGCAGCAAAGAACAGGTGCCAGGACCCGTCGCGTCACACATTCTCGACCCGATATTTTTTGACCCTTACGAAGAAGTCTCCAACGCCACGGATACAATTTTCAAAGCGATGAATAAAGTGCACAAACGAGTGGTCAAGCACGGCGATGCCGCTGCGCTGGATGAAAGTCTTGACGAGGATTAGCAGGCTGCTAAGGCAACCTGCCATTCGCCAGAATAAGTTCGATCGCCTGGGCAACGCCGCCTTCGTCATTGCGCGCTGAGACATAATCTGCCGCATCTTTAACCATCTGATGGGCTTGTCCCATCGCGACACTGGCGCCAGCCAGCGCAAACATAGCCAGATCGTTTTCAGCATCACCAAACGCAATCACATGAGCAGGATCGATGTCCAGGTGATTGCAGGCGGCCTGCAGCGCAAGGCCTTTATTGGCCTCTTTGGCCGTTATGGTCAACACCAGCTTTCCTGTCGGCCCGATCGAATCATAAATATTTACCCGGCCGGCAAAACGTGGTCGCAGCACGTCTTTGATGTGCTGACAGACCGCAGTGCCCTGAATCGCTGCGATGCGCGGCAGATCATTATCGTGTCTCTGTAACTGTGGCACCCAGATCATTTCTTCATCCAGCAGCGCTGGATCAGGGGCGCCATCCAGCTTCAGCAACACACGATCGGTAACGGTGACCGTAGCAATACAGCGTGCCTCATTGCAGACTGCAAAAAGCTCATCAACAAAATCCGGTGGCAGGCGTTTGTCAAAAATATCCTCCGCCACACGCGGGTCATGAACCTGCGCCCCGGAACAGGCTATCGCGACTGACGGTGTACCGATCTGGTCGGCGACACGTTGTGCCATATGAATCCAGCGTGCAGTGGCAACAATAATCTCATATCCGGCAGCTGCTGCTTTCTGCAGCGCAATCTTATTCACTTCTGGCAGGTCATCGCCAACCAAAGTAGTGCCATCAAGGTCAAGTGCCAGGGCTTTGTATTCCATCAATCGTCTTCCTAATCAGAATTTATGACCCGTCGTCACTATGACAAACGGGCCGCCGCAATCTTCCAGCAGCGTCTAAAGTTAGCACACATCATTCTAACCTTGTGCCCTATCCTAATCGCCGTGGGCTGCGTTACTCTGAAGACGATGTTTTCGATACACAGCGAAGGGAGAGAACGATGATCGACGTCCACTACTGGCCAACGCCGAACGGCTGGAAGGTCACTATCATGCTCGAAGAGTGCGGCATGGATTACAATATTGTGCCTGTCGACATAGGCGGCGGCGACCAGTTCAGTGCTAAATTTCTTCAAATCAGCCCCAACAATCGTATGCCCGCCATTGTCGACAACGACCCTCTGGGTGGCGGCGAACCTCTGGCCCTATTTGAGTCTGGCGCCATCCTCGAATACCTGGCAGAGAAAAGTGGTCAGTTCCTGCCCACCAACACAGCGGAGAAATACAAAGTCCTGCAATGGGTACACTGGCAGATGGCCAATCTAGGTCCCATGATGGGCAACGCCAACCATTTCAAGAATTACGGCAAAAACATCGCTGACGATCCAAGCCAGCTTGAGTACGGCACCAAGCGTTTTGTTGGAGAAGTAGACCGCCTGGCTGGCGTTATGGATGCACAGCTATCCGCCAACCAATACCTTGCTGGAAGCAGCTACAGCATTGCAGACATCATCACCTGGCCCTGGGCATTTCTGCTGGGTCGCCTGATAGACGAGAAAGTCTGGGAGACCTTCCCCAACCTGAAACGTTGGGTTGACGAAGTGGCCGAGCGCCCTGCGGTACAGGCCGGCCGTAACGCCGGCAGCGAACTCGGCAAGAAGGAACTCACCGAAGCCCAGGAGAAGGCACGCCGTGAAATCCTGTTTAACCAGACCAACGACAAAGTTCGAGCAGCACGTGAGGCTGCCGCTAAAGCCGGCGCTTAGACGCTAATCAGTGTGTCACTTCTGACCTGGGCTACCAGGTCAGAAATCGCGCCCCATGTTGTAAAACTCAGCATTCGGCCGCATGGAAGACAGGTTAGCCAGGCGGTTGCTCTGGGCAAAAAATGCCGCTATCGCGCCGATGTCCCAGACATCTTCCTCGCTGAACCCATGTCCATAAAGTGGCTCGATGTCCTGGTCTTCAATGGAACCACTGTCCAGCGCAACAGCCATGGCAAAATCCAGCATCGCTTTCTGCCGCGGTGTGATATCAGCCTTCAAATAATTAATCGCAACCTGATCTGCTAACAACGAATTTTTGGCGCGTATACGTAAAATTGCTCCATGGGAAATCACACAATACTGACAGGCATTGGCGCAGGAAGTGGCTACCACAATCATTTCACGCTCGGCTTTAGACAATCCGCTGTCACGCTCCATAAGCGCATCATGATGGGCAAAAAAGGCTCTGAACTCGTCCGGTCGCCGCGCCAGCACAAGGAAAACGTTGGGCACAAAACCGGATTTATCCGAGATGGCTGTGATGCGCTCGCGGATATCGGTCGGCATATCAGCCAGCTTGGGCAAACTGAATCGACTGATTGCTGTTTCACTCATTGTTATCACCTTGTTGCAGCGGGGTAACCGTCAGCGGAGCATCCAGGAAACCCTCTAATGGAAACGTACCAAAATTAAGTTGGCGACCAACCGCTAAAGCATCTGCAAAAGGTACATTCTGATGCTCAATCAGATAAGCAGTCCAGAGATGGGTTGCCCGCCACGCAACCGTACAGTGCAACAATACGTTGCCTGGCGCATCCGCTATTGCATCAGCGACTTGCGCGACCCGCTCTGGAGAATAAGGCGTATCTGGTCCACCCGACGGTACTTGGACATAATCAATACCCAGCTCTGCGAGCAGCTGCGCCTCATCAAAAGGTACCACCTCCCGATTATCCATTTCCATGGTTGTACGCAGGTTAATGACCCGGGTAACGCCCAGCTCCTTCGCACGGGCCAGGCCTGCTTCACTGGGTTGCCCACTGAGGTATACGTTTGGGGCAACTTGAAACAAGACCTCCTGGAACCCTTGCGCATCCAAGGCCAGCGGCGTTGCCAGGAATTCTGTTGTCTGAGGGTCGGAGGTCTGCGCAGTTAAGGGAACCGAGGAAAACCACATCAGCATGAGAACGATCAAAGCAGTTCTGGGCATCTCTATCTCTTTCATTAGCGGACTGCCATTACAAAGCCAAGCCGCCTAAATCTCAACTGTTGCTATAAATATGTTACCTTGCCCGTTTCAACACGCCCCAAGCCAAATCGAGGTCTATCATCCGCGTGTACTTAAACAGCCCAGGTTTATACTGACTTATGCCTAAGCCGTCTAAAAACCATCCATGGAAACTAGGTCTATCCGGACCTGTCTCTTACGCCAATCGTTCGAACAGCACCTGGCGCGGCTTCTATCGCCCGCCAGATGATGCCAGCCCGGTAAAAACGTTAAGCGAATCCGAAATTGAAGCGTTGGGCCTGCAACTGGTTCTACCGGTGCATGAAATTATGGAAGCGCGACGCATGTGTCAGGAACATCACCCTGACCGCGGCGGTGACCCGGAAGTATTCCAGCACTGGAAAGAAAAACTCGACAGACTGAAACGAAGGGTCAGAAAGTAGGGAGAACCCATGCGCACAACAATTGTTGTTCTGCTCCTGTTCGGTTTAGGGGTCCACGCAGACCCATTCAGCAACGCCGCTGATTCTCTGGTGCAATATAAAACCACCCCTCACCAGGCGGCTTTGTCCTGTCGCGATCTGATGAGTGTCTCAACCTTCGATTTCACCGTGGTCAGCAGCACCCTCATCGAAGCCACCGAATCTGTCCCCCGACACTGCCGCATAGACGGCCTCATCCCTACCGAAATACGTTTCGAAGTAAATCTACCGCTGGCATGGAATGGCCGCCTCTACATGTATGGCAACGGTGGACTGGCCGGCACCCCAGCGGATGACCCGGCACGCCGCTATGCCGCCGGTCAGGCTTTGGCCCATGGATTTGCAACCGCGTACACGGATACGGGCCACGACAAACGTGTGCAGCCCGGCGGTACATTTGCGCACAATAACTTTCACAAACTGGTGGATTACGGCTTTCGTGCTGTGCACCTGACCGCAGTTTCAGCCAAAACTCTGGCTACTCACCTGTACGGCAAAGCACCGGCGTACAGTTATTTCAACGGCTGCTCAACTGGTGGCCGTCAGGCATTGATGAGTGCACAGCGTTTTCCTCAGGATTTCGACGGCATTATTGCCGGTGCGCCTGCGGCAGACTATTCCGGCCTGAAATTTTCTCAAGCCTGGCGCGTGTCTGCGATCAGCAGATCTGGCCTCACTGAAACCGAAGCACTGGTGCTCGCCGGTCATATCTACGCAGCCTGCGACGACCTCGACGGCACTAAAGACGGTTTGATCTCGGACCCCAGGCGCTGCGACTTCGATGTCGACCGGGACCTGCCACATTGTGAAGGTGCAGATACCGACGCCTGTTTTGATCAAGCTGAACGCGAGGCCCTGAAGCAGTATTACGCGCCGGTAATGCTTGCTGGAGAGGAAGTTTATCCAGCCATGCCAGTGGGCAGCGAAGTGCTGGGCGCCACCTATACACAGGAATTACGTTCCGGCTGGTTCCCCTGGTTACTTAACGACAATGGTCCTGTGCTGCTTGACCTGCTGGGCTCCGATTTCTTTCGTTACATGACTTTTATCGAAGACCAACCAGATTACGACTGGACGCAATTCGACTTTGCCGAACGCCCGGATGGTCTTGACGGGTTTTCAGCCATAGTTGACGCCGTGGATCCTGATCTGAGCCGCTTTAAGAATCGAGGCGGCAAACTGTTGAGCTATTTTGGCTGGGCGGACCCGGACATAAACCCGCTGACGCTGCTGGCCTACCGGGCAGAGGTGGCAGCCCTGAACACCGATGTCGATAGTTTCTTCCGTACCTTCATGATGCCGGGCATGTTCCATTGTCGCGGCGGCGCAGGACCGGATCGTTTTGACGCCATCACGCCGCTGATCGATTGGGTTGAACATGGCGTCGCACCAGAAGAGTTAGCTACCTGGCAGGTCGACAGTAACGGCGAGCGCCACAATGTCCGCCCAAGCTGTGTTTATCCCCGGGAAGCATTGAATGATGCCGAATCACACCTGGTTTGCAGCCTACCCAAGCAGGCATCCAATAGAGTAGATTAGAGACGTTTCAATAATCTTCAGCAGATAAGGGGAGACGCGTCATGCGCCTGATCAGCTTGGTTTTGCTTTTAAGCGCCACTATTTCAACCTCCGCGATAGCCGAGGGCTCTGCCACTGTAGAATACACCGCCCTGAAAAATCTAAGCCACGGCTTTGCGGACAACAACGGCGTCAAAATTCACTATGCCAGCGTCGGCGAAGGCCCTCTCGTCGTGATGATTCACGGCTTCCCGGATTTCTGGTATTCCTGGCGCGACCAGATGGCTGGCTTACAGGACAACTACCAGGTTGTTGCCATTGATCAGCGCGGTTACAACAAGAGTGGGCAACCCGAAGGTGTCGAGCAATATGCAATGCCGCTGCTGATCAGCGATGTTGCTGCGGTTATCCAGCACCTTGGACGCGACAGCGCAACTATCGTCGGCCATGACTGGGGTGGCGCCGTAGCATGGCAGTTCGCATTTTACATGCCTCAGATGACCGAGCGCCTGGTCATATTGAACCTGCCCCATCCCATGGGTATGGCCAGAGAGATGGCCAACAACCCCGAGCAGCGGGAAAATTCAGACTATGCACGTAAGTTCCGCGAGGGTTCACCCAGCGATCCAGACATCATGTTTGGCGGCCCGATGAACCCCACCACCCTCGCCGGCTGGGTCAGCGATCCGGCTGCAAAACCCATTTACGAAGCTGCGTTCGCGCGTTCAAGCTTTGCTGGCATGCTGAACTTTTACAAAGCCAATTACCCTGCACCTCCGGCGCCAGGCACCCCGCCACCAGCGCCACCACCACGATTGAAAATGCCGGTATTGGTTTTTCACGGGTTGAAGGATACCGCGCTTCATTCTGATGGCCTCAACAACACCTGGGATTGGATCGATGCAGACCTCACCATCGTCACAGCACCTGAGGCCGGCCACTTCGTGCAACAGGACGCATCCGATCTGGTGACCACCACCATGCGCTGGTGGCTCGACGCACGCAGATCACCATAATTTTCATTTTTCCGAATACAATTTTCTGAATTTTTTTAAACAGGGAGACCAACTATGAAACTAGGCATTTTAGGCGGCGGTATCGGCGCCCGTGTCAACATCAACCTCGACGCTATCCGGCATGCTGAATCACTGGGCTATGACTCCGTCTGGACCGCAGAGGCCTGGGGCGGCGATGCCGTCACGCCTGCCGCCTGGATACTTGCTCAGACGAGCAAAATCAAAGTTGGCACCGCGATCATGCAAATGCCCGCACGCACCCCGGCAATGGCGGCTATGACCGCTATGAGCCTCGCCGAACTATCCGGCGGCCGATTCATAGTGGGTCTGGGCGCATCAGGTCCTCAGGTGATCGAAGGCTGGCATGGCGTACCTTACGGAAAACCTGTCACCCGTCTGAAAGAATACGTGCAGATCATGAAAAAAATCTTTGCGCGACAGGAAAAAGCCACCTTCGACGGAGAGATTTACCAGCTGCCCTATATCGGCCCAGGTGCAACGGGGTTAGGCAAACCATTAAAGAGTATTCTGCACTGTGAAGAAGACATTCCAATTTTTGCAGCCAACATAACACCCAGAGGTGTGGCCGCAGCAGCAGAGGTCTGTGATGGGTTTTTCCCAATCTGGATGGATCCCAGCAAATATTCTGTTTTTAAGGACCCTATCGAACAGGGTTTTGCAAAAGCGGGAGATAAGAATCTGACCCAATTTGAAGTCTCACCCTTTGTGACCGTGATCATGGGTGACGATGTAGAGCAATGCATGATGCCGATACGCGCAAATATGGCGCTGTACATCGGCGGCATGGGCGCGCGTGATAAAAACTTCTATAACAATTATGCCAAAGCCCTGGGCTTCGAAGACGCGGCTGTGAAGATTCAGGATCTGTTCCTGGCGGGCAAGAAAGATGAAGCCGCAGCCGCAGTACCGGCGGAACTGATTGATGCCTGCCACCTGGTTGGACCTGCTGAGCGCATCAGAGAGCGTCTGGCGCCCTGGAAAGCCGCAGGCAGTAAAGGACACGTCGCCTCTATGTTACTGGGCAGCCAGCAACCCGAAGCACTGGAGTTGATTGCATCGGAGATGTTGTAGCCAGAACAGTCCAAAATCACAACGATAAGGCAGTTTTCAAAAAGAGAACCAGTTCACGGAGATGTCGTCCGGTTTACCTAATATCAAGTCACAGGATGTAACTTAAATTGTTAGGAAGGTGAGATATGGACGATCTTATTGAAAGCTGGGAACGTGAAGCACTTGAAGAAATGCTGGAAGAGGAATTCAACCCGGATGTCTTCTACAAAGCCTTAAGTAATGCGTTAGCGCAACTTGAGCACTTCAGCGCAGCAGAAGCGGCGTAGCTTGAGTCACTGACAATATTGCAAACGCCGAAAAGCCCCTCTTCAGGGGCTTTTTTTTGTGCCTGGACAACGATCAAAAAAGCGGGCGCAAGCGTTAGAACTTCAGCACACTTCGGGCAGCGGGACGCTCACGGTAGCTGGCATCCCAGCGCTGCAATGCCGGGTATCCCTGCAGCATATCCAGCTTCGCAAACCGCACAAATTGCAGTGCCGCCGCAAGGGTGCAATCTGCAACCGATACCTGTTCACCCATCAGGAGCTGACGCCCATCACTCAGCAGCGTTTCGAGATAACCCATAACTGCCGGCAAATTCTCTTCAATTTTCTTCGCGCCTATCGGATCAGGTGGCAGACCCAGGGGAGAATTAACAAGATGAACATACTGTGCAAGCGGCGTGGCCAGACGGATATCAATAACCCGCTCAAGATCCCGACACAGAGCTTTGGTCTCTATGTCCTCACCAAGGAGCGGATGCTCGGGAAAGCGGTCTTCGAGGTAGGCAATAATCGCCAATGATTCGATCAGATAACGTCCACTATCAAGCTCTAACACAGGCAACGTACCAAACGGATTGCGTGCTAAATGCTCATCCTCTTTATGTCTACCCTTGAGGGTATTCACCACAATCTGCTCAATGTTCATCTGCACACCCAGACTCTCACGCTCCGCGATATACAACATCACCTTGGTTGGATTGGGCGCGGCGGGGACCATATAAAGTTTCATAGCGGTTCTCTGGATAAGCGGTAGAAAGCGAAGTCAGCTCAGTTTTGTGTTCATCCAACCTGGAAATGCCTCTCGCTCATGATCCGGCATACCCAGTAGACCAGCCAGCACATCGCCAGCCAGACCGTGACCAATGGCTGCAACAGCAACCAGATAAACTACCTGTCGCACCTGAGCATCGGTGTCTACCCCTAACACTTCTCGAGTCGTACGCAACAGGCGGCCGAACAACTCGGACACTGCATTCATATCGTTCGGCTTATCCGACCCCTCAATGGCACGCCAGGCAAGCAGCTTGGCATGGCCACCTGCCGCCAGCGCATCAAATAGATTGCCAATGAGCGTTTCAGGTGGCACCTGGGCATCCAGGGCTTCAACGAGGTCGCACACCAGGGCCAGCGTCATTTTGTCTGCCAGCTCATCACGCATGCCGCCCACGGAACCGAAGTGATGAATCAGAGTTGCGTGAGAGATGCCTGCTTCGGCGGCAACACCTGTGATATTCAAACCTTCCAAGCCATGTTCCCGCAGACGTTTTGCGGCGACATCCAGGATCAGTGCTTTTGATTCAATCGCGGTACGTCGACGTCTTACAGCCAATGTGCTTCCCACCCTTTGGTTCACGTTATTAAAAAGAGAGCGTTACAACAAAGCCAGTAATTTATTGTTGACTCAGCATTGATTCCAGCTACTATCTACATCAATGTTGATAAGGTCCTTTTCGAGGTACTATTTTATGCACACTAACCGAAATCCCATGCAGCCCATGGTCGCTTTTAAGGCGTTGCGTCGTTTGATTGCAGACCCGGAACAGACACAGGAAGTTTTTATTGTGATCAGGGCTTTATCAGGCCCCGCCCTGCAGGACAGCTACATTCGTTTTGCCGATACAGAAGTGGGTCGGCGCATTCTGAGAGATGAGATAGATCTGCTGGACACACTGCAGGACCAGGAAAGCCTTGCTGCTTTACCCGCCAACACCCTTGGCCGCCATTATCTGGATTTTGTGACAAGTCAGAACATCAGCGCAGACGGCCTGGTTGAAGCCAGCGAAGAAGGTGAATACAAAGAACTTGAAGGCGGTATAAAGCGATTTGGTATGCGCCAGCGAGACATGCATGACCTCTGGCACACCCTGACCCAATATGGTCGCGATGAGCTGGGTGAGGTGTGTCTACTGGCATTCACCTATGCACAGACTAAAAATCGGGGCATTGGCGTCATCTGTCTGACCGGTTGCGCCAAGCTGGTTGAACACTACGGCGTAGGTGTCTTCAAAGCCGCGTGGCGCGCTTATCGCGACGGCAAAAAAGCAGCCTGGTTACCTGCTCAGGATTGGGAGTACCTGGTGACGCTGCCTATTGAACAGGTACGACAAACCCTGCACCTGCAGGTGCCGGAAGAATATCGTGAATTACAGGGTACGCCTGCAACCGCTTGAAGGCCGAGCAACGTCAGCTCTGTTATCCTAACCGGCGCGGTCAGGTTGAGGAGTTGATGTGCAGAGGTTTGATTACATTATTGTTGGGGCAGGCACAGCCGGATGTGTATTAGCCAACCGCCTGTCTGCCGACCCCGGCAAAACTGTTCTGTTACTGGAAGCCGGTAAAAAAGACAACTATTTCTGGATCGATATCCCGGTTGGCTATCTGTATACGATTGGCAACCCGCGCACCGACTGGTGCTTCAATACGGAACCTGATCCCGGTTTAAACGGGCGTTCAATTGGATACGCACGGGGCAAAGTCCTGGGTGGATGCTCCTCCATCAATGCCATGATTTATATGCGCGGTCAGCGCAGCGACTACGACCACTGGGCGCAGCTGGGCAACCGTGGCTGGGGTTGGGACGATGTACTGCCCATTTTCAAACGATCGGAAAATTATCAGCACGGTGCTGATGAGTTTCATGGCACCGATGGTGAACTCAGGGTGGAAGAACGGCGCGTCAACTGGGAGATTCTCGAAGCCTGGCGTGACGCTGCAGAAGAATGTGGCATACCCAAAATCGAAGAATTTAACCGCGGCGACAATTTTGGCAACGCCTATTTTCAAATGAATCAGAAAAGTGGTCGACGTTGGAGCGCCACCCGCGCATTCCTTGACCCGATCAAACATCGCACGAACCTGACCATAGTGACTGAGGCTGTTGTTACCAACCTGAATTTCAGTCGCGAGGACGGGAAGCTGACTGCCAGCGGTGTCAATGTGACGACACCAAAAGGCACTCAGACCTGGCAGGCTAATAACGAGGTTATATTATCCGCCGGCGCCATTGCCAGCCCGCAGCTCCTGCAGCTGTCCGGCATCGGTCCAGGCCAGCTGTTACAGCAGCACGGCATTGCGATAAACAAAGAGATCAACGGCGTCGGCGGAAATCTACAGGATCACCTGCAGGTGCGCATCATTTACAAGGTCGACAATACCGTTACGCTGAATCAACGTGCGCGCACACCCTGGGGTATGGCGGCAATGGGCCTTGAATACATGCTTCGCAAAACCGGCCCTATGACGATGCCACCCTCTCAGCTGGGGGCTTTTTATAAAAGCGACCCAAGCCAACCCTCCGCCAACATTGAGTGGCACGTACAACCTCTATCGTTAGAAAAATTTGGCGAGCCCCTGCATCGTTTCAATGCAATAACACCCAGTGTCTGCAACCTGCGGCCAACCAGCCGCGGACACATACACATTCAGTCCGACAGTGTGCATAAGCCCCCCCTGATCATGCCTAACTACCTGGCAACGGCAGAAGATGTCGATGTAGCCGTCAAATCGTTAAAACTGACACGTAAGATTATGCAGGCACAAGCGCTTGCCAGATTCAATCCAGTCGAATTTAAACCTGGCAGCGAACTGCAGAGCGAAGATGAGCTGATTAACGCTGCCAGAAACCTCGGCACCACCATTTTCCATCCAGTGGGCACCTGCAAAATGGGTAGCGACTTAGACGCCGTGGTAGATGATCGCCTCAACGTTCACGGCATTGACAATCTACGTATTGCAGACGCCTCGGTTATGCCAACCATTACTTCAGGCAACACAAACGCACCAACGGTAATGATCGCTGAACGTGCCAGCGACTTCATCAAACAAGACTACAAACACGCCAGCTGAGTTTTAAGCCAGACTCTGATACGCGGCTGTGCGCATATCATCGGCAAGCGGTAAAGTTGCCCCTAAGTATTGGGACATGATTACGCCAGTCATCTGCTCTTTAACATCCACCCAGAAATGAGTGGATGCTGCACCAGCCCAGCCAAATTCACCCTCACCTGTCAGCGCAACCGCCTGTCCCTGATCCAGCATTACCCTGCCAATCAGACCCCACCCATAACCCGGCAAAGCGCCGGGACCAATTTTAATGGGCACCTGATCAGCAGGTAGACGATTAGCCTGCAACATGGTGTGCGTGGTGCGGGAAATCAGTGGCGTACCTTCGCTGTCACAACCATCGAGCAACATACGTGCAAACGCACAATAGTCTGCAAGGGTTGAATAAAGACCATGACCACCACGCTGAAATGTCTGCGGCTGATCTGTGGGATGCATATCGTTGATATCCATCGGCTCCAGCGTCTGTGGTGTTATGTCTAATGCAGGCAACGCGCGCAAATCACCAACGCCATACATAGGCATGAGTCTGTGCAGTTGATCAGCGGGGACAGAAAAACCCGTATCACTCATACCCAGAGGGGTGAAAATATACTCGTCCAAAAGATCTGCCAATGGCTTACCACCCGCCACCTGACAAACGTAAGCCAACACATCAGTGGACACACCATAGCGCCACTGGCTCCCAGGATGAAACGCTAAAGGTTGTTGCGCAATCGCACCCACCATTTCTTCCAGCGTACGGCTACTGTCACCAATTATCTCAGCCTCCCGGTAGTACTGAGCGATGTGACAGCCATGGATAAATTCATAAGTCAGACCAGACCGATGGGTCAGCAGGTCTTCAACGGTGATCGGACGTACCGCAGGCACAATATCGCCGTTCGGCGTCAAAACCCGCATCTGTGCAAATCGTCGATCAAACTGCGGCAACATATCGAATAACCGCAGCTTACCGCGCTCCATAAGCATCAGCGCCAGAACCGAGACAATCGGTTTGGTCATCGAGTATATCCGGTAGATGGCGTGCTCAGGTATCGGTGTACGCAACGCTGCATCCGCAAAGCCGGACGCGCCGCTGCTCAAAATCTCGCCGCCTGCTTCAACACGCCATTGTATGCCGCTGTATTTCTGCGCTGACGTGTACTGGTCAGCAATCGTCTGTATTTGTTGATCTCTATTCATTTAACGTCCTTTTGCGTGTAACGCCAGTTCAGTTTCGACCCAGGCATTATAATGCCTGCGTATTGTGTCTAACCGCTAAACGAGGTTGAATTGAGCCAGATTGTGCAGTTAAGACATCAAGCCAACTACTGTAAGTGAATCCATGCAACAAAACACATGCAGAAAATTTCGTTCATCGGCCCAGCAGCTGGCTCTGATCATGATTGGCCTGACAATTACCGCGCACAGCCTGGCAGCAGACGCTCCGCTTCGCAGTGCCGCTGACATACAGCGGGACATCACCAGCAAGCCCTTTACCGTGCTGGAATTTGCGGGTGTTAAACCGGGCTGGCAGGTGATGGATATGTTTGCGGGTAATGGCTACTACTCCGAGCTGCTGGCGCAGGCCGTGGGTCCAGAAGGAAAAGTCTATCTGCACAACAATCAGGCTTATATGGCGTTTGCCAGCAAGCTCAATGAGCGGGTGAAAAACCAGCGTCTACCCAACGTGGAGGTCTACGTGCGCGAGGTAGAAGACATCAACCTACCCTCAAACAGCCTGGATCTTGTGCTGTTGGTAAAGACATATCACGACGTTTATTTTTCTCAAAGCGGCTGGACAGTAACCGCAGAGCCCCTGTTTAAAACCATTCACAGAGTCCTGAAACCCGGTGGTCAGCTGCTGATCATCGATCATCACGGGGCAGCGGGTAGCGGTAACTCACGCGCGCAGGACCTTCATCGCATCGAGGCCGACTTTGCTAAAAGAGACATCGGCGGCCGCGGCTTCACCTGGGTGGAGGAGTCTAGAGCTCTGCACAACAGCGACGACCCGCTGGATATCTCCGTGTTCGATCCGGCAATCAGCGGTCAAACCAGTCGCTTCGTATTCAAATTCCTTAAACAATAAGAACTTTTTTGTGCTGAGCAACGACCTCAAAGAGGTTACCTTAATCGAGACTAACGGTATGAAAAGTAAACTGATTGCAGCCCTGCTGCTGACTGTTTTGAGCACAAACCTATGGGCGGAAAGCCGCACCGTCGAAGAGTTTTCCGCAATATCTTATCCGCTATCCTTTGACGTCGAATTTGTCGCCGGCAGCGAGCATCGTGTTGATTTCGAAGGCGATCAGGACACAATCGACGACATCAAAACCACCGTATCAAAAGGCACCCTGCAACTGAGCAAAAATAACGGCTGGTTTAATTGGTCTGACGGCGATGTCAGCATAATCATTACCTACGTTAAACTGGACGCGATCACTATGTCAGGCAGTGGTGATGGATTTGCAGCAATCATCGATGCTGACAAGTTTAATATAACGATAAACGGTTCCGCCGGATTCGAAGTTGAACAAGTTAACTGCAACGATCTTACTTTGCGAGTATCTGGTTCTGGCAACATCGATCTGTACAACCTGAGCGTTGATAGTGTGGATGCCAGCATCTCAGGTTCGGGCGATATAGAACTCACGGGTAACACCGTTTTACAAACCGTGGCCATTACCGGCAGCGGTGACTACAGCGCCCGAGAGCTACGCAGTCAGGAAGCCAGTGTGAAAATAACCGGCAGTGGCGATGCACAACTATGGGCAGAAGCCACCCTGGACGCTAAAGTCATAGGGTCCGGAGACATTGTTTACTACGGCAATCCGAGCGAGAAAACCTCTATTACAGGTTCCGGGAATATTGAGCAACGCGACCGTAAACTATAAAAACACAACTCATCGTTTGGAACGAAAATGAAGGCGCTGCCGCAAAGGCTGCACCTTCATACATTCCATTGTGAACGCTATTCAATCAGCGACTGGTAAACCAGCGACTTGAACTCTCCGCGCAGTCGCGTTCGGTGAGGCAGACTCTGCACCATAAACAACCCAATCAGCTGCTCCTGTGGATCCACCCAGAACGTCGTACCCGCAGCACCGCCCCAGTTGTATTCACCCGCTGAGCTTATCTCCCCTACCAGACCAGGATCCAGCACAAGACCAAAGCCAAGACCAAAGCCTGCACCCTGACGATTGAATCCCATGGGAATATCGCCGAGATGATTCATTGTCATCAGCTCAATACTCTTAGGACTGAGCAGGCGTGCACCATCTAACTCACCACCATTAAGGAGCATCTGAGCAAAACGCATGTAATCCCGCGCGGTTGACAGCAAACCGCCACCGCCACCTTCAAAGGCGCCACCATCAATGTATCGGGCACTTGCTGCTGCCGGTGCTACCACCAGATCAGGACCACTGGCGGCCGCAAAAAAACCACCCCCTGCGGTGCCTTCAGGCGCATACATCTGCGCCAGTCTGCCAAGGTTTTCCGGAGCTATGGTGAAACTTGTATCCGGCATATCCAACGGCTCGAAAATTCGTTTTTCGAGAAATTCTCCAAAGCTCATACCGCTGAGAACTTCAACCAATCTACCCTGGACGTCAACTGCGACGCTGTAATGCCATTTGGTGCCCGGCTCGTACTGAAGTGGCAGCTGACCAAGGTCAGTAACAAATTCTTTAAGGTTCTTATTCGGATTCAAGATGCCTGCTTTGCGGTAAGCCTGGTCCACTTCGGTATTACCAAACACGCCATAGGTAAAGCCCGCGGTATGGGTCAGCAGATCACGCACTGTAGGTTGGCGCCGTGGTTTGCGTGTCTGGCCATTTTTAGCCAAATCGCCTTCGCCCACAGTGCGGCTGGTTGTGCCATCAGAAATGATGCCGGTTGCACCATCAGCGGTTGACAGAGCCACCTCGAGATCTGCCAGTTCGGGAATATAGCGAGCCACCGGATCGTTTAAGAAGAATTTACCTTCTTCATACAACATCATCAGCGCAACCGCGGTGATCGGCTTTGTCATGGAATAGATGCGAAAAATGGCATCTTCAGTCATGGCTCGTCCGGCTTCTCGATCAGCCTGACCATAGGTCTTGCTATACACAATCTTGCCGTTCCGGGCGATCATGCCTAATCCGCCAACCATAGTGCCATCAGCTACCCGCGCATTCATCAAGTCGGTCAGACGCTCCAGGCGCTCGGATGATAGACCGACCCGCTCTGGTTTACTGCCGGGTAACTCTTTCGCCGTCACGATACCCGTCAGCAGCATCACCAGCACAAATAAAAATATATGCTGCAGAGTTTTCATTTCTCCCTCTCCCCTGTTTGTCAGCCGTTGAGGCTAGCTAAAGCCGCGACAAGACACAAATAGATTTGCTCACATGAGTCATCAGACCTACCATCTGGAAACCAGAAAATCGGGAGAACAACATGGCCATTTCACCTTCATCCACGGAAGAGTTACTGGTTGAACAGGACGGACACATCGTCACCATCACTTTGAACCGGCCAGAGCGCTTAAACGCCATCAGTCGCGCCATGCTGAGTGAATTGTCGGCCAAAATGGTTGAAGCGGATAAAGATCCTGATGTGCGATGCATCATTCTGACCGGTGCTGGGCGAGGATTCTGCAGCGGCCTGGATCTTATTGATACATCAGATCGCATGGATGAGAGCGGCAGTGTCGGTGGTGGCTCCAATCGAGCGCGGCAGCTGTTTGATCTCCGAGATGCACCCATCAACGTCATGTGGCATACCGACACACCCATCATCTGTGCGATCAATGGCGCAGCTGCAGGTTACGGTATGGATATGACACTGTTGTGCGACATGCGCATCATGTCTGAGAACGCCAAACTGGCGGCGGTAACAGCCAAACGCAATGTTGTACCGGAAAGTGGCGGTACCTGGCTTCTGCCGCGTCTGGTTGGTTGGGCTAAAGCGGCTGAACTTTACTATCGCGGCCGTACTATTGACGCTCAGGAAAGCCTCGAAATTGGCATTGTGAATGCAGTGGTACCTAACGACAAACTTATGGATACCGCACGTGAATGGGCCCAGGACGTTGCAGATAATGCACCGGTTGCTGTACAGACCACCAAACGCATGATGCGCATGGGCATGGAGGAATCTTACGATACCGCCGTTGACCATCTGATGGTGCATCTAAGTGGCTTGTTCCAGAGCGAAGACTTCAAAGAGGGTTTGCAGGCATTTATGGAGAAGCGCAAACCCAACTTTACCGGTCGCTAGACAACTTTAATCTGCCGCTTTGGCGTCACGCCGAATGACCTGGGCACCTTCCGGGTCAATCGGCACGCCATGGACAATACGCGCATTGGCATGGCCAAGCTGCTGCAGCGACATCGCTGACTGCAGCGCGCTCCACAACCCCTGCGCATCCTGCGCCTGGTTAACGCTCTGTTTTGCCAATCTAAGCCCCATCGCTGGACGCTTGGCAATACGTTCTGCCATTTGCGTGGTAAAACTTGTTAACTCTGCGGCGGGCACTACCTGATTCACCATACCGCAGGCTTTGGCTTCAGCAGCCGACATCATGCCACCCGTAAACAGCAATTCTTTGGCTTTGCGCACCCCGAACTCCCAGGGGTGACCAAAGTACTCAACCCCGTTTACACCAAAGGCAACAACGGGATCGGAAAAAGTTGCATCTTCTTCTGCGATGATCAGATCGCAGACCCAAACCAGCATCAATCCTGCAGCGATCACCTTACCCTGCACTTCCGCTATGGTGGGCTTAGGCAGGTTACGCCAGCGCCAGCACAGCCCCAGATACAACTCCTCTTCCATAGCCTGCTGGCCAGCTTGACCCGGTTGATCAAAGCCACCCCAGGTACCCACCGTTTCAAAATCAGACATCTGCGCACTGTCACGCAAATCGTGACCGGAAGAAAAGTGCGGGCCATTTGCCGCTAGAACAATGACTTTCACCTGCTCATCACGTGCGGCGAGATCAAATGCGTCATTAAGCTCATACAGCATCTGTTTGTCCTGGGCATTGCGCTGCTCAGGACGATTTAAAGTAATGCGCGCCACGCCGCTGTCCACCACCTCATAAACTACCGTTGAAAACTGTGTCATCTCACCCTCTACGCCTTAGAATACGAACCTGATGTTAGCAACACCTATCACCTGGAGTACACGGGCGTGCAATTAAACAACCGTGGAACCATAAACTGGCGCTGGTGGGCGGCAGCTGGCCTGTTCAGCCTGGGTTTTATCGGCCTGCTCTGTGGCACCTCGTTGAGTGAACGCCCAGATGTTGTTGAATCCAGCTGGTTGACCAAAGCATATTACGCGCTGGGTCTGTTTGTGGTTGGGGGCTTAGACATCGGCACACCCCAGGATGGCACCTGGTGGTCACGCAGCATGTTGTGGATAGCCTACTTTGGCGCGCCATTTCTTACTGCCTCTGCGGTCATCGACGCGCTGATACAGGCAATGTCCAGAGACGGCTGGCATCTGCGCCGGATGCAGGACCATATTGTTATCTTCGGCTCCGGCCCGTTAACACTGAGTTACCTGCGGCTGTTACGCAAAAATGGCAGTGCGCAAAGTGTCATTGTGATCGACAAACACTTTGATCCAGTAAGGGAACAGGAGTTGATCAATAAGTTTGGCGTCACCACGGTCGTTGGCGATCTGACCCACGACTACCTGCTGCAGCAGTTGCGCATGCACAAAGCGCGCAGAGTATTGCTGTTCGGCAACGACGATTTCCAGGCTTTTGAAGCCGCCGCGCGTATTCTTGCCATTGCACCAGCATTAGCTGGCAACCTGATTCTGCACTGTCATAACCTGCGATTTATGCGTTCCCTGCAGGACACTGAGCTGGCCCAGAGCTGCCAAACATTTAACACCTATAACCTCGCAGGCAATGGCTTTGTCGAGGATTATCTGGTTGAACACTTTCACCAGACCAAGTCTCGCGACGTGGTCGTCATGGCAGGTTTTGGCAGATTTGGTCAATCGGTTTTAGAGGGATTGCAGAATGTTGCCACCGGCGAAATCGAACACGTCTGCGTGATCGATATTGATGCTGATCGGCGTGTTTTAGTAGCAGCCGAGCAGGAAAGAATTGGCGAGGGCTACAAACGTACGGTCTTTCAGGGAGATATATCTCATCCCGTGGTTTGGGAACAATTAACCCGCACAGTAAACCTTGGCGATGCAGAACCGACAGTGATTCTGGGCACAGGGAAAGAACAGGACAACCTGCGCACGGCGCTATGGATCAAGGAACGCTACCCTAACGCCCTGGTGTTTGCCCGTACCAACGACATTTCCATGTTTGCTTCGAGCGTCGGCGCTGGTCGTAACATTAAAAGCATCAGTATTACGCAGCTGATGGAGGATCACATACCGGAGCAATGGTTAGGCTAAAAAGACAAGGAGCAATAACCTCAGACCTCGGCTTCCTCCCAGCTGTTAAAAAAAGTGACTTCCCTTGCCGCTTTACGATCTGCGGGTTTAAGCACCGCATTTTTTGTATAACCGACAGGCAACATGACCAGATGCTGATGATCTTCAGGCATGCCTATTATCTCCGCCACATTCGATTGTCGTGCAGCTAACAATGTGGTCCACGTAGCACCAATGCCCCTTGCCCGCAGTGACAGCATCAGCGACCACGCTGCTGGCAGTATCGATCCGTAATAGGCCACTTCAGCCGCAGTAGACACTTCCGCGGGCCGAGAGGGCGCGCACACAAAGATGAGGGCGGGCATATTAGGCAGATTATTCAACAGCGCTTTGTGAGTAGGTTTCATAGCCATACCCCGTTGTGCAAGTAACTCAGTCAGCACCTCGCCGTAAAGCAGCGCCAGCCGACTTTTGGCCAGGGGTTCATCCACCACTATGAATCGCCAGGATTCGCCTGCCATACCCGTCGGTGCCTGGACCGCGTTATCTATGCAATCAAGCAACACAGGCCGCTCTATAGGACGTTGCAGATCGAGGTTTCGCCGTACCGAACGTGTGGTACGAAGAAAGTGATCAAATTGATCGATCGCAAGCCCCGCTATCTCATCAGCCATCAGCATAATTCCGATTTATGTGTCTAACCCAGCGGAAAAAAATTCCGCTATGGGCATCAAAACGAATTACAGCCTACAATGTTGCCTGACGACAAACCAAGAAATTCCATGGCGAAACTTTCTGTACTAGATTTATCCCCGATCAATGAAGGGCAAACAGCTGGCGATGCTCTGGCCAACTCTTTAAGCCTGGCCCAGCACGCAGAAGCGCTGGGCTACCACCGTTACTGGGTGGCGGAACACCACAATATGCCTGGTATCGCCAGCGCAGCTACCGCGGTGGTCATAGGACACATAGCTGGAGGTACCCAGCGTATCAGGGTAGGCGCTGGCGGCATCATGTTACCTAACCATGCGCCGATTATGGTGGCCGAGCAGTTTGGTACGTTAGAAGCGTTGTTCCCCGGACGAATCGATCTTGGCCTGGGACGCGCGCCCGGTACCGATGGTGTTACCGCCCAGGCACTGCGGCGCACGTTGAATTCGGATCCGAATAAATTCCCGCAGGATGTACTCGAGTTACGCGAATATCTCAAAGATGCTCAACCCAACGCGAGGGTTCGCGCTGTCCCCGGTGAAGGCAGCCATGTGCCTTTGTATATTCTTGGCTCCAGCCTGTTTGGCGCTCAACTCGCAGCGATCCTCGGCCTGCCGTTCGCTTTTGCCTCACATTTCGCCCCTGCTGCCATGATGCAGGCACTGCAGATCTATCGCAGCGAATTCGAACCGTCAGAAACTCTTGAAGCACCTTATGTCATTCTGGGCTACAACATCTGTGCAGCTGACACTGAAGCTGAGGCACGCTATTTACGCACCTCTGGACTACAGGCTTTTTTGAATCTGCGTTTTGGCAATCCGGGCAAACTGCCGCCACCGGTGGAAGATTTCGACAGCACGCTGACAGCCCAGCAGCAACAGGTCATGGCGCAGATCAGCTCCGCAGCCTCGGTTGGAACGGCTGATCAGGTGCGCCAGGACGTAGAAGCATTTCTGCAGCAGACCCAGGCTGACGAACTGATCGTTACCAGCCAGATTTATGACCACGCTGCACGTCTTCGCTCTTACGAAATTGCCAAACAAGCCTGCTGCGGCCTGTAAGGCAATTTTCCTAGCCTGTTAGTTAAGGCATAAACCAGATTGGCGATGACCAGGCACGATCCTGGATCACAGCCTGCATATCGGGCCTTGGCGTAACCCCTGCGCGGATCGCGTCATAAGTAGACCAGCGACAGCTGGGATTCTCCAACACACGCACGTAATAAAAAGCGCGTTGATTGGGATCGAAGTCCGGATCCTGCCAGACGGTGACCAACTCGGCGTTGCCTTTGCCACGCGTTGTGGAGCAATCTGTAAGATCGACACCTGCGCCATTGTCCGGACAGCGTCCGGTAGCGGGATCCACAGCCAGACCATCACTACAGGCGACATCAATCACGCGTTCACGCGCTTCCCCGTCCGCCAGCCAACCTTTGACAATCTGCAGACGCTGTAGATTCTGCGTATCCGGGTCTTTACTTGCCCACAGATAGAAAGAAGGCATTTTATCTCCGTCGCGCAACAGGTCTGAACCCATCGGCACACCAGCCGCGTAAGCCTGTTCGATGGCGTTATCGGCATTCATCAGATCATCAGACAGGCCATAACCGGCAAAAAAGCGCACCTTGATGTGCGGACCGCTGGTGCTGAAGGTTTCTTTACGTCGCATCGCGTCATAGATCGAATCCCGGGTGTTCGATTCCGCCCACACACCTGCCAGCCCGGAGGCCCCCCAGTATTGGGATGCACCCTGCGCATATTGCGGATCACCTTCAGGCGAACTGTCTAAAGGCACAGAACCACGCAGCTGCGGCTCGATGTCCATCAAACCGGTTTTGCTCCAGTAATTGTCCTCTTCAAACGAACCCGCAGCATTGTGCGTATCTGATGCGCCGATCACACCAAATTTGAAAGGGTTGAAGCCCTCTTCAGCCTCCATTTTCAAGCCGTTCAGATAAGCTTCGCGCACATAACTGCCGTTCGGCTGTGAAGGTAAAGTGCTGGCTACTCGAATGGGCATGATTTCAAAATCCGCCCATTCGTCATTAGGCGATAACAGAGGATGTGTGTCAGAGGTGCCTTTCACCTGAGTATTCTCTACCAAAGGCTCATTGCGCATGCGTTGTTCGGCGTAAGCAGCATCTATAGGCACATCCGAATTGTAACGCACATCTGTGAACATCCACCCATTAGATCCGTTGGAATTGTGTGGTATGGCCAGAGACTCCCGTCCTTCAGCACGATTGGCATCCATCCAGTCCCACAGATCTTCTGGATCAGATGAATCCAGGCGGCTGAACGGCTGCGTGGGTACATCACCCCCTTTGAAAATCACGTTGCGATGCAGGTTCTCAAACTGAGGGCCCGACGTGGTGTATTCATAGCCAATGAACGTTGTAAAGTTGCCCGGATCATTGTGTCGCTCTGCAGCCTCAATGACTTCTCGCCAGGCGCTGCGAGCGACGTTTCGATCATCAAGATCATCTTCGCCGCCGTCCTGCAACGACACCAGATGCCCGATAACAGACTGAAATGCTTTGGTTGAACCTTCCGCTGAAGTTGCACCGGCAACCACATCAGACAATCTGTGCTCAGCAAAATCGCCCTGCTTGGAACCCAGCGCGCGCATCATGCCAAGATAAAAAGCGTGATCTGATACCGCGAGAAAATCCAATGGCTTTTTCATCTGCATCTGAAAGCCTGACGCATGCGAAATGGCGCCGCCTTTGGCAAATTCATAGGCGTCGTCAGGCGTACCCCGCGTACCCATGAGATAGGCGTCAAAAGACAGCACCGTATGAATATGTGTATCGCCAAAGTAGGCATTACGCTGCGGATTACTCGAGATTTGCGGCTCACTTGCCTCGACCGTGGTGTCGGGCGGCATCTCGACGGGTGGCGCTGTCGCCGGCACTTCACTGACCTGATCCTGACCGCAACCAACCAGGATCAGACACCCCAACATTACAACGCTGAATCGCATTGCTCTCCCCTTATTTATCAATACCCTCAGGGAGAAACACTACGCCTGGGCGGCATGCCTTTCAACCGGCATGCCGCATTTCAAACACTTATCTGAGCCGGGGCCTGTTCACTAACCGTTAGGGTTAATCAGATACTTCTTACCTGTTGCCTGCTGAGCGTAGGTCTGCAATAAATCGAGTTGCAGCGCCTCACTGAGAGAAATTTCAGCTGCATAGCTGCTGGCAAAAGTAGTGCGCACTTCGTCGGCAACACGCTGACGCAACTCCTGGGCTTTTTCACGTCCCACTTTCTGTAGAAATGGGGTCAGCAGCCAGCCGCCCAGACTCCAAGACATACCATAAGCCCGGCGCAGGACGGTAGGCGAGCGATCCAGTCCACCATAAATGTAAACCTGCTTATGCTGAGTCGAACCATAACGACTGTATTCAGAGGCTGTTGCAATCGCTGCGGCTTCCATCGCACTTAGAATCTGGCTCGCCAGCTCACCACCGCCGGTGGCATCAAAAGCAAGGTATGCGCCGGTTGCGGCAATCGCGTCCGTCAGGTCCTGCATAAACGTATCCTGGCTGGAGTCGCAAACGTACTTGGCACCCAGGTCCTTCAACAAAGCAGCCTGTTCAGGTTTACGCACCACATTCACCAGCGGCACATCGTCTGCAATGCAGATCTTCTGCAGCATCTGCCCCAGATTTGACGCAGCAGCGGTATGAATAAGACCGCTGTAGCCTTCCATACGCATGGTTTCCACCATACCCAGCGCCGTCAGGGGATTAACAAAACAGGACGCACTTTCAGCCGGCGTTACACCGTCGTGCATGACCAATGCCTGACCGACGTGCAGCGTTCGGTACTGGCTGTACATCGCGCCACCCAGTACCGCAACGGTTTTGCCCATCAACGCCTGGGCCTCAGCCGAACTGCCAGCGGCAATCACGACGCCGGCACCTTCATTGCCCACCGGCATGGATTCATCAAATCTGCCGGTCATATGTTTCAGCAGACCACTGGGTATATCGGCGCTGATTGTTGGTGCACTGGCGCTGCCACCCTGTACCGCAGTGGATAGATCTGCCATGCCGACCAGCAAACCCAGATCAGAGGGGTTGATGGGTGAGGCTTCCACACGCACCAAAATTTCGTTGTCGCCGGGTGGGACAACGTCTACTTCCTGCAGGCTCAGCTCTAATTTGCCGGCAGAGGTCACCAGGGACCGCAACTGCAATCCACTTTTGGGGATATCACTCATGATGTTCTCACTTGAAAAAAGACGAATACCTTCACCTGATACGGCGCCAATGGCAATAGTTTGCAGGCGAGTTAAACTGGCAGCGATGAGATGGAGAGCATTCTGCAAACTGTTACCACCAGCACAATAAAAGAAATCTTCCCCGGTGCCAGCCTGCAGGATCTAGGCACCCCTGATCTGACTTTTGTCGACTGGGGTGTGCTGGATTATTTTGGCTGGGTTCACCCGGCCGGACACTCCGGCTGCGTGATCGCGCCCATCAACGGCGAGCTGCGGGGTATGCAGATGCGGCGCATGCAGAACCACAGCGCAAAACCCCGGACCCATATGTGCAGCTGGTGCCACCATGTTTATCGCAGCCGTGGGACAGCCATGTTTTCCACCCGTGTCGTGGGTTCCGATGGACGCCGCCGGATCGGAAATTACATCTGCCTGAACCTTGATTGCAGCCTTCGGATTCGTAACCTCGCCAGCGATCCACCCACCTATCTACCTGAAACTATTGAACTTTCTCATAAAGTCTGGCGATTACAGACCAATATCACCAGTTTCATGGCACGGGCAAATTTACTCGCCGACCTGCTCTAACCGGGCGCATTTCTCCTGCGCATTCGGTTATAATTTGGGGCTCGTTTTGCAGAGTGGCTACGGTCGCTCTCTACAACAACGCCCAATCAAACCTTTTCGATCATTAAAATGACATGCGGAGCTGAGCATGAACTTAGACACCTTTAGACAAGAAGCCCGTGATTGGCTGAACGAAAACTGCCCACAGGAAATGCGCCTGGGTGCGGTGCACTTTGAAGACGCCTACGAGGTCTATCAGTCCGATGCAGCCAACACCTGGCGCGATCGGGCCGCAGCACGCGGTTGGACGGCACCCACCTGGCCAACAGAATATGGCGGTGGCGGCTTGAGCAAAGCCGAAGCCGGTGTACTCAGCGAAGAACTGGTGCGCATCAAAGCGTTGCCACCAGCCACCGGCATGGGCTTAGCCATGATTGGGCCGACCCTTTTAGAAATGGGTACAGAAGACCAGCGTCAGCGTCACCTGCCGAAAATTGTGACCGGCGAAGCCCAGTGGTGTCAGGGATATTCTGAACCTGGCGCAGGCTCAGATCTGGCCGGCTTGCAGACCAAAGCTGTTCTGGAAGGCGACCAGTTCATTCTGAACGGCCAGAAAATCTGGACCTCTGGCGCACAACACGCCAACTGGATGTTTGCCTTGGTTCGCACAGATCCTCAAGCACCCAAACACGAAGGCATCAGCTTTGTGTTACTGCCCATGGATCAGCCCGGTGTCACGATCAAACCGATCAAACTGATCTCCGGCTCTTCACCCTTCTGTGAAACTTTTTTCGACAACGCTATTGCTCAGCGTATCGACCTTGTTGGCGAACTCAACAAAGGCTGGAGTGTGGGCAAACGCCTGCTGCAATATGAACGTAACGGCGCCACCCGCCGCGCGCCTAAATCAAGCAAGAAGAAGCCAACCCTGAATGTGTACGCCAGTGTCGCCAAGCAGTACTCCGGTGAAGACAGTCAAGGTAAGATCGCTGACCCGGCAATGCGCGATGAGGTACTGACACAAGTCATGCAGGAACGTGCGCTGGCTTTGACTACTCAGCGTGTGCTTGACGAAAGCCAGTCTACTGGCGCTCCTGGAGCGGCCACCTCTATTTTCAAGCTGGTCGGCTCTACCTTGTCAAAACAAGGCTCACAACTGAAGTCCACCCTGCGCGGCACTGCTGGCCTGGTATGGGAAAGCGACCAGTTCAGTGAAGACGAGCTTGAATCCACCAGAGCCTGGCTGCGGGACCGCGCGGTGACC